TTTTCAATCCATATGTCACCTTAATACTTTTATCCATACTTATTGCAATGTACAATATTTTGACTTTTAAATTCAGTGCCCATGCTCTGAATGAAGTTTTCATCATTAGTCATTTTTTTTCCCATATTTTCTGTTTAAATCAAATGATCTTCTGACTGTTTAAATATTATTTAAATTACCAAATCATGTTTCATTAAATTTGGGAAAGGAAAATCAAACGCAAATTTAAAAGCACAAGTAGTCTTCTTCTGCCCCTGCTGCAGTGACCACAGTCATCAACAGTTTTCTGCCCTTTTTCCAGTTTGTTGGAAACAAGTTTCACTTTCAATGTAAACACTATTTTGACAATTGTTTAGAGCCTGCTTTTGATTCAGATTGATAAATACTAATTTACACAAATATTAAAAAAAACAACAGAAATACTCTGCAGTGATATATAACCAGCCATCATAAAATTTATCAGATGAGGACAACGACCCCATATTTGCTCCAGTCCCCACTACCCGTGAAAAAAATATAAAAAGTACCAACCCTCCCGTACTTTATATCCTGGAATAGCCCCTAGTAAGTTTAATTGAAGGCAGTAGGTGGTTTTCCTATGATATATTTTCCCTCCGAGTTATTCCCCTTGGCTGTCATCTTGGAGGTCAAACTGGTCAATTTTCCTCTTTGAGCAATCAATTTTAAACTTGTATGACAGAAATATAGGGGAAAAAATCTGTACAATATTGAAATTAGGAATGAAAGGGTTTTATAACAAACTTATGTTCATGAAAAAAACTGTGTTATCTACACCTTATTGCTCAGTACAACAACTTTATTTGGTTGAATAATGAAGGAATCTGGGCATGTTGACTTAAGGCAGCCAATGTGAGATAACTCTTGCTTAAATTAGGTCTATGGAAAACTATCTGTTAGTATGCAACAATTGTTTACAGCCAGCCTCATTTAAATGTTTTAAATTGTGTGCATCTCCAGAGTTAATTATTTGTTTTGAAAGTTGTATATGATCCATGAGCAAAAAAGTACATAAGGCCAAACAAAAAAATATGTGTGGTTCTGGTTACACTTCCAAAAAAAATTAGGGTAGGTAGGTAGGGATTTTTTTTTTTTTTTTTTTTTTTTTTTTTTAACAAAATGATTTTCTTATTTTTTTCTAAATAATACCTATCACTGCTTTGCAAATGGCATATAGATGTGGTGTGATGATATACTAGTCAATATTGGTAGGGGACACCTACATGCTAGCTTGCTTTGGATTTAACACTATTAAACACTTGCACTATGTTTTGCAAGGAGGCCGTCATTGCTGAAACTAAAACTTAAACTGGGGCCATTGATGGACATCTGGGGAAATTCCGGAAAAAATATGAAAATTGCCAAAAAAAAGTTTAGGGTCGGGGGTATAAAATAGGGAAGGTCGGGTAACTGGAACCACAGATATTTTTTTATTTGGCCTTGGAGCTGATCAGTATAGGTTTAAAAAATTCTTCTGCACCTTGAGAGTTAAGGACCCTCTCTACACTAAAAGAATTTTTTGTTTAGATATTGTACCATCAGGAAGTACATACATATGTAAGAATTGTACCATGTAATACATGTACATTGATAAGTCGTTTGACTACAGGAGATGTCTACAGTTGTTGGCAGCGGGATTTTTCCTCCCGGGATCAGTCGGGATCACGGATCCTTGTGAACAAGGAACGGTACGAGTCCACACCGTGATGACCCTTGAACAGCAGGTACGTACAGGAAGTTGTGTAATATACTGATCAGGCTGAGCGCGGTATTTACATGCAATCAATTATTAATAAGTGAGGGGAAGTGACATCCACAAACAAGGTCAGAAGTGCCTTTATTTACAACATTTCCTGGTAATTCATAAGGTATATGGCAGTCGGTAAAAGTAATAAGGAAAGTTTTCTCCATATAAATTGAAAGTTGTTGTTTATATAAAAACTCTTTGTATACATGCATGTGTATTGCTGTGTGATTATAAAAGCATTTTATTTTTACTATTGAATTGGTTGCATCTTGGTTATATGAACACTGTAAAGGGAAGCAACTTTTTTAAGCTACACATTTTATTCATTTCACAAATGCCATCTTAGTGATCTTAGAAGCAGGTTAAAAAAATTATATTCTGAAAAATAGTATAGTGTTATGCTAATTAATTTACAGTATATTTCAGAAGCAACTTCTCTGATAGTTGAAATTTGCAAAACTTTATCTTTCAGACAGTGCAAAAAATAACCCTTTAGATACCATATCTTTAATTTTGCAAGCTGCATGGAAGTAAAAAGTACAACTTTAAAAAAGCATGTGAAGGACTTAACAATTCTGATTAAAATCAGATCTTTTCATACGCTCTGAAATACTGATAGTCACTGTACAGCGACAATCAGAATTTCGGAGGATAAAAAAGATCTGATTTAAATCATATTGAGGACTAAATTGCAAAAATTTCGAATGACACAATTTTTTCTCTCTCCCTTTTCCCCTTTTTGTTCCTCTCCTCCCCCACTTTTTCCTTGATTTCTCCCCCTCCACCCCTTCTTTTACCCTCCTTCTCCCATTTATTTTGTCTTACCCTTGGTATGGTATGTTTAAAATCATTGGAAATGAGTGGAGAATACATAATGTTGATAATGCCATCTTTCTATCTACAGGATATGGTGTGCTTCACAGCTCAGACATTACTCCGAGTACTGACCCATGGAGGATTTAAACAGATCCTAGGCATGGAGGGAAACTCTAGTAAGTAAAATATATCTATACATCTAAAAATAAGGTTCTCAAAAAAAAATGTTATAAATCTAAAACAAAAAAAAACAAAAAACAAAAAAAACAAGAGGCCCTTATTGTTCAGAGAATTTTATTTTAATTAAAAATAAAACATTCCAGCAGTCAAACATATTATGAAAGCTTGACTGGTTGCAAGATGTTTATGGTGGTGTAAGGTTTGGAGATTTAAATAAGAGGAATGGCTTTACATTATGGTTTATCTGATTCACTATCAATGGATTTTCATCTCTTCTCACAGGTATAGCGACAGAGATGAGCGTGTGGGAGGGGGTGGTTGTGACACCGTCAGACAAAGCCTACGAGAAACCGGAAAAACGGGAGGGGGAGGAAGAAGATGAAGATGGCGATATGGAAACACAATGATCACCATGGCAACACCAACAACTACATGTGAGAATTTGAAATTTTACATTTTTAAGAGTTTTTTGATCTACAGAATTTCATACTAGATGTTATAGTGTCATGCATTTAACAAAGTACATGTAAATATTTACTGCTCTGAGCAAGAACGGTAAATTGTGCTGTGTTTAAAGAATTAGCTCAAATTAGAATTGATTCTGGCCCATAAATTTTGAGATAATGGCAGATTTTTAATTATTTATTTATTTAATTTTTTTGTTGATAAGAAGCTTACTGTGGAATCATTTGAATTTGTGGGGTTTAGTAATGTGCAATGAAAATTTTCATGGAGACACTATAGGGTGACCAAAAAATAAACAAACTTTGGTCCCCCACAAACAATGATGATTCCACAGTATTCATGTCAATGCTGAATGGAAAATAAGATTCTTTTGAACAGAATACATGTAGTCATTTGACTGTGACTTTACATTTACAACAACTGTTCATAAACTGGTTCAAAATAATGCAAAATAGGATTTTTCCGTTAGCTTTCTGGTTAGAAGATTTTGAGGGCATGCATTGAGTAAAAGATGTTCATATTTATGAACATAATGACAAGTTTCATGCTGTCTATGCTCAAGCAGATGTTTTCTAGGCCCCAAAAATCAGTAAAAATTGCTTATTTTACTTTTTATTTTTCATGCAAAGGTGGTGAAATGGGCTATACATGTATTGTGATATCAAACACAAAGAATGCCTGCATCATTACAATATTTTTTATTGACTTATCACTAAATAAGTTGTTTGCATTGTGCAATAAACAAGTTAAAAGTGAGTAAGAACATGTCTCATTTTGTTTATAAAATAATTGCAATGAATCAATACTTCTGTTATTTCATCTATTCACAGGATGTCCCTACTGCAAGAAATTTGTGTGGCAATTACAGAATTGCAGCTGACATTTTATGGACAAAAGTGGCTACAGCAAATGGAACCTAAGTGTGGTATACATTGTTCTGTTGAAACTGAGAATTGGAAAGGAAAGAACCAAAGGAATATACAAATGTACATGTATGTTAGAGAGAGAGAGAGAGAAAGAGAGGGGAGAGAGAGACTTGATAAAATGCCATATTTGTATGTTTTACTTTGTTTTCATCCCATTGTGACTGTATTGTTTAGTTGTATGTTGTTGAAATTTCCATGTCAGAACAAATTGAAAATTAATTCCTTAAGTTTAATTATTAAAAAAATGGAATTTTATTTATTTTACTTATATAACAGGCATGCATTTGCAAGTTCTTGCAAGTTAAAAAGGCAGCAGATATATAATTAGAAATCCTGATGAAATTTAAAAAAAATACAATGTTTAGTTATGAAAATTGTATGTGACTTTAAGTTAAATATTTTATAATTTTGATGGTAAGTATAAAGCAAGAATAATGTTTCTGATGTTAACAAAGAAAAATTTAAAGGATAAAATGTACATGTATATATTAATGTCATGAAATCTTGAAAAAAAAATTAAAAATTTTGAACAGTTCTTTTTTTTTTTCTTTTATGAAACAGTATTATAATGTCAGACTTGTGTGATTGTCTTCTTCACAGAATACTGTAAACTTACTTATCTTAGCAGCAATCATATTTTAGCACCTTTTGCACTGCTTCATGTTTATCTGCTAATACATATACATGCTAATACATGATTCAAACCACAGTCTAACCTCATTATCTCGAAGTCAATGGGACCGAGAAAAAAATTTAAGATATCCGAGGATTTGAGATATCCAAGGTAAAATATTTAAAAAATAAGCGGTTGGAACTTCCAAATCACTTTGACATATCCATCGTATTTGAGATATCATGTTCGAGATACCGAAGTTCAACTGTAGTACATGTTTTGCAACGATCAAGTGGTCTAATTTATGATTGCACTATTCAGTTGGAAGATTGTGCTGAACTTTGAGTTCTCTTATTTATGTATGTTTGCAGTATTTATTAATAATGTCATGCTTGCATTGAGTATATATTATCACAGATCGTGCTGTTAATCTTTAACCTTGACAAGTGTTAAAACTCTATTTCATTATCCTGGAAGTCTCTGAATTTGGGTGACTTGCACGTTGGGTTTGGTTCATCTTTAGTATGGACAAAAGCTGCTACAGGAACTGTCCTTTAAGTAAAAGTGAATTTCATAAGATCAGTGAAAGTTTTATGAAGGAGACTTAGTTTTGAATTAATTGAGGTTTCCTTTGAATAAATTCACCATGAGTCTTTACCTTGGTTTTATAGTCTCTTTAATCTGAGCTTTCTTTTGAAATTTCTCATCTTGCTCATCCCGTATCTGAAGTTCTCCCTGTAGTCTAGTGATTTGTGATATGGAGATGTTGTTAACATTTCTGCATTAAAATAAATATTAATTTAAAAATTGGCTCTGTCAGATCAGTTCGTCTAGTTTGTTGGGTATTCTAGGACAATAACGATAGTTGGAAATGTGTGATAATTTGCATAATAGGCCCGTTATGCATAAATTATCCCACGTTTCTACCGTCATTAATGTCCCTGGCATACACCTCTTCTAGAGCAAATTTTGAGGAAATATTAATTACTAGCCAAAATTAAATATTTGGTAATTTTGGGATAATTTTCTTTCAAAAACACAGTTTTTCATATTTAGTCAATACCCCTGGTAATGAGTGCTGTTTTTTTCCCTAAGAACCTCGAAAGGGAGTATCATTTGAAAAATTTTCAATGGGCCAAGTACATTGTATGGTACTTTGCGTAAGACCTTAATTGAATTTTCTTAATTTTTTTTTTTTTTTTTTTTTTTTTTTTTTTTTCCAGTCAATTCTTGATAAATAATGCAATTATAAAGTTTTAATGAGAATAAACTTTTAAAGTTATAAACAACAATACTTTTTTATTTCTCTGTTATGCAGCATTTTTGTAAATTCTTTGTTCGTTTTCTATGTTTTATATGTTAAAAGAAGAATAACTTATAGCCTTTTTTGTGCACATTACTGCCCAGCTGTAGGTTTTTAATGTGCTTCAAATCTCTATCATTCAATAGCCCCGCCCCGTCAGGTCAATTTGCTGAGAACATGTACATACATGTAAATGACCTTTATGATGCTTACGGGCGATTCCTTTTCAAAATTTATAGATCCGCCACTGATCACTGTACTTACGAATGTGATATAATTTGCTGATCCTCCGTGGTGTTTCTCGTCTTGAGATATTGCTCGAGTTTATCAATGGTGGTCTGTAATGATTGACACATATGCTCCGCCTCTTCACGCGCAGCCTTCTCTTTCTCGAGAGCCTCGTTTCGGAGATTAAGTATTGCTTGCATGTGCTCAATCTTTAACATTAACTGTCTGCATCTGAAATTGACATTTTTCAACGAATGAGGAAATGCTCGTGAAATAGGAAGGTAACGAACAGTAATCAGGCTCAAAGGTCTACTGAAACAGCAAACACGGACTTCTAAAAACATCAGAGGTGGGATCAGGTGTCATGGAGGAGTAAGCATCCCCTGTCGACCGGTCACACCCGCCGTATGCCTCTTGTCATGATCAGGAAAACAAAACAAAAAATCCGTAGACAATTCAATGTATAACAGTTTGTATTGTGCTTATTAATAGTAATGATTTTTTCCATCTTTGAACTTCTAAAAGAAGGGCGGAGTCACCAAATTTTGGGGATATGTCATGTTAATTTCTGAGTTTATAACCTATACAGTATTATGTCTACATGATTTCGGTTTACTAATAAGATAGTAATGCTTTTGATGGAGACTTGTATACTTTGCAAAATGTTTCATAAATTAAACGTAATCTATTTTCAACATGTGTTACAAATATATCTTACCATACATAAATTATATATCATATATTCATCATACATGCATTCAAATAAGTGTATGTTGAAAAAAAATAATACATTTATACTAAAATATATAGCAAACGTATATGTATTGAACATTTGGTAATCATACAACTAAAACTAAAAATATGTTGCATATATGTCATATTCATATCTATTTTCACTTGATTAATGTTTTCCTCTTGAGAATTGAACATATTGAACTTTCTAAATAAGTTTCTAATATATTACAAAATAATGTTTGTTTGAAACATATGTTAAAAGTCGTTACGCTTAGCAATCGTTGATCGAATAAACTTTAAGCATATAATTGTTCATTGCACATAATAAACATATTTTACAATATTTAGCTGGAAATGTTACATGTACAGTTAACACGTGCTACTGCATGCATTTTGATATGCTTTATAATTTTAGATACATGCTGATGAACTTACCTCGGCTGTTAGCAACTTACCTCGGCTGTTAACAATTTCTCGGCTGTTAACAATTTTACGATGAACTTACCTCGGTTGTTAACAATTTTATGAAGAATTTTATTTCTTTACCTTTCCTCCGTATCCTTGCGGAGTTTTCGCTCCGATTCCATTTGTGCAGTTAAAAACATCAACTCATCGGGTGACCTTGGATCATTTCGACTGATCAATGACCTTGTGATATTACAAAAGAAAAAAAAATCAATTAACTAAGTGAACATACTAACAAAATGAAGATGTTTCAAACAGTGATCAAGCTCATAAATTTGGTAAAGAATAAGAATCGTGAACAGGGGGGAAAAAAAACCCGAAGGACCTCTGTATTGATCAAGTAAACTGGAAATCTGTATTAAAAATGCTATTAAAATTATATAAATATTGCATGTAGTTGAGTGTAACATTAAAAATTTTCACCCCAAGAAAACCAATGTCAACCGAGGCGCAGCCGAGGTAGACGATGGTTTTCGAGGGGTGATAATTTTCAATGTTACACTCAACTACATGCAATATTTATTATTTTATACTGAATGTTTTATACAATGACATATAACAGTGAACCTTGCGCGCATAAATTCTGCGCAGTCGCTATTTTTTGGAATAACACCCGTCGTCAAGCAATGTTGACTGTTGCTACGCTTGAGGGCGTGGCTCCATCATTCAGCGGGTATTAGTGTTTTTTAACAAATGTTTGTCGACGAATCAGATTCAACTAACTTACATGAAAGTATAATATAATAGATTAACAACTGATGGGAAATGTGTTAGTCAAAATACGACCCAACAACAGGAAGACTTTTCCAAAAAAGGTCATTATAACGACCTTTGAATTTGCAAAATATAGACTTTAAACGTGATAGTTGAAAACCCTGTAACATTAACTTATTTTTCATAAGCCTGCCTCTATTTAAAAAATATTATCATACTCAGAACATATGCTCTTGAGTATCGAATAAGTAGGGAGACATTAACATCATATGCAGATGTTTTTTGGAATATTACTTCTCGGAACATAAATAGGGGAAGTTGACGATGGAAAAGCTGTCATCCTATTTGATATATAGTTAGTTGTTAGTTGATATATAGTTAGTTGTTAGTTGCCCATGGTCTAAATATAAATCAGTAAAATATCATAGTATGAAGCAGATGTGACAGACTCTTCGATGTACTTCAGAGTACTTGTGTATGGAATCAGAATCAATTTTTAACAAAGTAATTTTGTAGATCATAAACATTTACGAGTTTAATTTTAATTGAGGAAACAGTTGTCTATGATGTAAAAAAAGACTGCCAAGGAATGGTTGTATAAAAAGGCACATTTAACATTTTTCGAATAAAAAACACAGGCACATTAATATCTAAAAGTTTCCCAAAAATTTTGATAAAGAAATGATTCACAGATCAAAAACACTTATCATTCAACAAGGACATAAAATAAATGATATGTTTTCTTGTCTTCTAAAATGCATTCTCAAAAACCTTTCTAATCCAGAGCCCTATTTATTATTATTTTTTTCATCAAAAATTTCAGAATTTGTGATTTCTTTGCTTCTGTCTGTATTCTAGAGGCCAACATTACCACATACTCATGGCAGAGATATATCATTTTTAATGAAAGTAACAATAACAATGCGTAAGTTGATTTTGAACCTTCTGTCCAAATTTAGTTATATTTAGAAAATAATTAAATGTGACTTTTATTATTTATTTATATGGCACTTGACCATATTTATTTTAGTAAAACCAATCTTTCAACCATTTTCTTTCATTTGAAGACTTAGAGAAAGAGAAGCACAAAAATAATTTCGCAAACATTGATATCCTGAAGAAATTTTTCTTAAAATATAAATGACATAAATCACAGTGTACCTGTTCAGTGTTACATAAAGCACAAAACAGTGTTCTGTGTAAATGTACAACGTACCTGTTCAGTGAAACGCACTCCGATAGTGGACGACTTCTATCATAACTGAAAGACAATTGAGTACAGATATATTTAATGTACATAAAAATAAGTATTTGCTAAGAAAAATTAAACATTTTATGTTTTGAATATACTGATATTTATAAAATAAGCAAAATGAATCGTTAAAGGAGAGATGTAGTAATTTGCAAGGTGTCTTGTGATTTGTGATATTTTTAAACTTTTTTAGTGCAGAATTTTTTTTAACAAAAGTGGTCAATTCAGAAACTATTTTTTAAAAAATGTCCAGAAAATTAGTTTTAATTTATTTCAATCAATGAATCATGTAAGAAAACATCTTTATAACACTTAAATCCCACAATTTCACAGATAAGGAAAATTCCAAGAAGTCTCAGTCTTCAGGAAAGAAATATGTTGTAATAATTCATTTTCAAAAAATACAAAAATTAAAAAAATGCATTGCTTTTATGATTTCATTATAATAACAAGAAATTGATTTCAGTAAAATAATGAAAAAAAAATGTAATAGACTTTTTTCGATACTCTATTTTTATTTTGTTTCATTTATTTATTCATTTATTATTGTTTGTAATCTTGGAGTAGTACAGCAGAGTTTCATTGTTATGGGAAAAAAGCTAAGAAAAAGTGTTCTAAATCAATTACAAGATCTTTCCCTTAAAACAAGATTCTCACTAAAAATGGTCACTGGATCTTCTTCCTTTCCGCGACATCCTTAAAAAGCTCGGTTGAAAGCACCGTCAACAGTTATAAAATACAGGTCATCCTGCTACGTGCCTACCATTTTGTCACCGTGTTTATTAAACTTTTTAGTTTGTCGCCTTATAATTTGATTCAGTTCCTTTTTTAATTTCTCTCAGCTGTGAGTCAAATGTATGATTCCAGACAGTCTTCAATGTTAACAGTTTCAATTTCCGCTCCTTAAATTTCTAGCTTATTAAACACTCTCGCTAAATTCCAATCACTTTAAAAAAATATCTGATAATACATATCCACTTAGAATATCCTGTTATTAAAAAGATAAGTCCTGATTGAAACTAACGATCAAATCGATATACACAAGTCCTAGACATGCAAGTGACATCCTGTGAAAAACTTTCAATGGTATTACTGTGTATTACTATTGTGTATTACTTTACATTGTGTTGCAATTTCCTTTGTTAAAGTTACACCTGACCCTGTGAGTTAAAGCATAATAGCGTTTTAATCTTCTGTTATGAAGGTATTTAACCGCTGCAGAATAAATCACAAAAGGGAAATGTGTATTTCAAAACATTTGTCAAGCATTTTAAATATACGAAGAGTACTTGCGTTCTACTTTTGTATTAATAAATGCAGTGTTCATTGAACATGGTATGCTATTTTTAATTTTTTTTTACTGTTGACCTCTTAAGAATATTTATTATATAACCTCACTGAGGCCAACATAAAACCTGAATTATTACAATGGTGCTTTAAAAAAAACAAACAATATATGCCAATAGGTAGAAATGATCTTAATCCAGTTTCATTTTCAAAACAATATTGCATGGTTTTTATTATTATTTATTTATTTATTTTTAAAATTAGTACAATGTCAGTTATTGTGTACGAGTAAGATTATAATTCAAGGAATTGAACTAATTAAAATAAAATAATGAATCGAAAACATGAAGTTTTCCTCAATTTCATAGTCTATGTGAATTGGTAATAATGTACCTATCCAGCTCTAGTTTTAAATACCGTTTTTGTCTACGAGTTAAATGATAAATTCATTCAAGAAAAAGATCAGCATAGAATAAAAGACATAAAGAATTTTATTTTTTACCTGTTCAGGATTTATATTGTTTGAGGTAGAGTTGCCCTTAATTATTTCTAGCTCGGAAATTTTATATATATATATATATATATATATATATATATATATATATATATATATATATATATATATATATATATATATATATATATATATATATATATATAAAGCACTAAAAATGACCAACGACACGAACAATAATAATTGTCAAATTTTCGGGACAACCTGTCCCTTCCTCAGGACAAAGAAAAAAGTTAAGAAGTCATAAAAACAAAGGAAATAGAGAAGCAAAAACAACTAGCACTACTACTAAACTACCGAACACTAAATATTTACAATGTTACATGTTTAATTTTGAGTTTATAAACAGTTGTGAACAAAGAAATCCGGAGCGCTATGAATTGAGTCCGGTCTATCGGGTGTAGTCTGGTGAAGTGTGATTTACATAATTGAACGAATTAATTATCGCTAATTAATTACGGCCAACAGTAAATCGTACATTGTCTTATTCTCTCAAAATAGCGTAACTCTACATAATAAAAAGAAATTAAAGAAAGATAATATGGAAGGACAATTTAGAAATATGAATTTGGATATATTATTAAATTTGGAAATCGGAAAAAAGAAATAAACAGAAATGTGAGCTGTAAATATTTGGGTAGGTTGTTCCAGGATTACTAATACGAATTGACGGTAAAGTTAACACTACATAGAGAGAATGAACTTGTTTGTTACAATCCAGGATTGGGTCTAGTTCACGTTCATCCTGGTGAAGTCATTAAGTTTGTTAATACCATTAGGGCGGAATGACTTCAGCCTGTGCATCCAGAACTTTTCCTTGCCTTTTCTCTGCGCGTCTGTCCATCTTGGATTATGGTCAATAACCACTACTGTTATGTCCTCCCATTTGTGACCTTCAAGGTTAAAATGTTCCCCAACGGGTTCATTGAGTTTTTTGGTCCTAATGGTAGAACGGTGATTATTGATTCTCCTGCGGAGATCTCCTGTTTCACCAACATACTGTTTGGAGCAAACTTTGCAACTGATGAGATAAATGCAGTTGTCAGTTTGACAGGACAAATTCCCTAGTATTTTGTAGCTGCGGCCTGTAACGGGGCTGTTAAAACTGTCTGTGTCAGAGCTGTACTTACAGAGAAGACATCTTCTGTCAGAGCAAGTTTTAAAGCCCCCGTTAGGTAATGGATTGTCCAATCTGGTTCTTACTACCATGTCCTTCAGGTTCCTCGGGCGTCTGTATGCAGCCAATGGGGGCTCCTTAAAGACCTCTGCCATTCGTTTATTTGAGTGGAGAATTGGCAGATTCTTTTGAAGGATACCGCTGAGGTTCTTAAGGACGGGATGGTATGTGGTTACCAGAGGGACCCTGCCGCTATTGTCTTTTTCCTTGTAGCGTAATAGGTTTTGCCTGTCATGTCCCGCCATCTCATCAATAGCAGTTTGTACGGTGCGGGCATTGTAGCCTCTCTTGCATAAGTGGGACTTAAGGAGACCGCTTTGTTCTTGATATAAGGCAGGGGATGAACAGATGCGCCGAATTCTGGTGGCTAGACCCTTAGGCACACCCTTAAATGTCATCGTGCGGAATATTGGTGTACAGAGATGTGACGTCCATAGTCACGAGAAGGGTATGATCTGGAAGGCCAGTAGAGGGCGTCTTGTTAATGTAGTCCGTGGTGTCCTTTTCAGTCTCCACACGAAACCCACAGATTCCCATCTGTATCTTATGCCAACTAGCTGTCATCCCCCACACACATTTAAGGGTGTACCCAAATATTTACAGCTCACATTTTTGTTTATTTCTTTTTTCCGATTTCCAAATTTATAATATATCCAAATTCATATTTCTAAATTGTCCTTCCATATTATCTTTCTTTAATTTCTTTTTATTATGTAGAGTTACGCTATTTTGAGAGAATAAGACAATGTACGATTTACTGTTGGCCGTAATTAATTAGCGATAATTAATTCGTTCAATTATGTAAATCACACTTCACCAGACTACACCCGATAGACCGGACTCAATTCATAGCGCTCCGGATTTCTTTGTTCACAACTGTTTATAAACTCAAAATTAAACATGTAACATTGTAAATATTTAGTGTTCGGTAGTTTAGTAGTAGTGCTAGTTGTTTTTGCTTCTCTATTTCCTTTGTTTTTATGACTTCTTAACTTTTTTCTTTGTCCTGAGGAAGGGACAGGTTGTCCCGAAAATTTGACAATTATTATTGTTCGTGTCGTTGGTCATTTTTAGTGCTTTATATAAATTTCCATCCGTGACCTTGTATCTACTTAGTAGATCCGACACTTAGGATATACAGTTTTGTTGGTTTTTAGTGCTTTATATATATATATATATATATATATATATATATATATATATATATATATATATATATATATATATATATATATATATATATATATATATAATTTCCGAGCTAAGAAATAATGTCAACTCTACCTCTTTCTCTCAGAAAAATGTCTATTCAAGGAAAGATTGATTGTATGTTGTTTTACGTCCCATTCGAGATTAGATACGTCACCATATACCGGTGAAGGGTTTCAAATTTAGACCTATAAACGGCACTCAGTGCCATTGTGCAGTGCGAGTTCTTTATTGTGCTAAAGCCAACCATGACAAGGAAACCTCAGTTTTTAAGGTCTCATCCGAAAGATCGACCGCGACTTTCACTAATGCCGGACGCTTGGTGAAGGAACAGTCACTCACTGTTTACGAGAATCGAACACAGGCCTCCCGATCTGGAACTCACAGGAAAGAAGATCAGCGTAAAGCATGGGAAAATGTTAAAACAAATTACTAGTAAACAAAATCAAATTATAAAGTACAATTTACGTCTCAAATATACATCATTCTATCAAAATATCATGCATTTTCAATACTTGTTAATTTTCGAGTAGGCGTGCACTTTCCATTTAATAAATGCTTATTAACGTCGCCCAAAATTCAATAGCTCGTGAGTGTAACGCATGTTTTGACACTTAATTGTTAAATATCGAGTTTTTTCAATGGCACTTATTAATTAAAATGCTTTAAAATTATACAAGGCTAAACGCTATTTTCCCACACTTTTGACTTCAACTTGTTGTGCTGTGATATGAACAGTCTTGGTATTTTCTGGCATACATTCTTACTGTGAATGGATTTGGATTCACGAAAATAGGAATTTGTACAAAATTTTAATAAACAATATACGTTTTCCTGAATGATTTAAGTGAAAAAGTACGACTTGACTCTTATTGTGCACTAAAGTAAAAGGAAACATAAAGTAAAAGGAAATATAGATATGAGTGAAATGGATGGCTTTATTTGGTATATAAACATGAGGAAAAAAACAGAAATGAGAAATGAAATCAGTACTGCGGGAAAGTAATGTAAGTAACTATGTAAATATTACACATTCTTTTTTTTTCTCTGAGATTGAGATATGCTTTCCTGGACAACTTATCACAGATTTCAAAGTATATTTTCCAATTAAACATTTACAACAGAAAATGTAAATTTTTTTCTTTGAAATTTTCTAAAACGAAGAAAGACTTAAAATCCAACTATACATGGTCCTAAAAATGCACGTCTAGCTAAGTTTTATTATAATGTCAACTTTTTAAAATAAAGGTCGAATCTTGTTATTTTCAAATTTATTTATTATAATTTGCAAAATCGTTTAAAATAAATCCCATCCCAACGCACTAACAATCAAAATAGGGAAATATGATAAAATTATACCAATACCAACGACGATTTTGAAGAAAGGAAGTCCGGTCTCCTTATCGAAATTTAAGTGGACTTGTTCGATGGCTAAAACCTAATTTAAAAGCACGTGATCATATACAGCAGAGAAAGGTATATTATACAGTATGTACGGTGTGTATAGTTTGACCACTCAACTTCTCTGATGATTGATGCTAATTCTTGTTTTGTACATATGAAGATAACACAAGTTTAACAACAGGTTGAGATAAATTGAAGAAATGAGAATATTTTCCCGATAAAGATTTGGTGCTTGTTTACCGGTTTCTAGGAAGAGGCAGTATAGAATCTTTTTCAGGAAATTTGTGTCATGTATCAACCGACTTCCGGAATTACGTCAAAGTGAGAAATGTGTGTATTTGACAAATACTGTGACTGGAATTCACTGAAAGTGGATGCTTAACACGATTTTTATTGGGGGTGAGAATAGTGTTTCATCCAATCAAATTATTGTACTGGATACATTTTCTTGAATGATAAGTAATATTCTCGAAACTGTAATTATATGATCGCTAAGATTTGCAGAAAATCTTAGAAAATACTGTCAGCAGTGGAAAACTGCATACGGATGAGTCATAATCTACATGTAGTTTTGAAAGAAATCCACAACCATTTTCCTTCTTCTTTTGGAAAGACCATTTCGTTATATCTGAGATTTCTTTAATTAACGTTTTGAACCACTGGTAAAGGAACATTTCCTTCCAGCATCTGTTGTATCTTGCTCTAAGAGGGAAATAAAAGACGTATTGGTCCAGGAAGTGAAAAATAACTTGCACGATCGGGGAAATAGCACAGAATTAATCATTATTTGGGGTCATTTAAGATGAAGTGGGGAAAAAAAAAGCTATTTTGACTCTTGTGTGTTCCATGTTTAGAGGAATATTTTTCGTCTTTTTTTCTTCATGTTTGAAAGTGAATTTTGTCTTGAAAATATGTGAATTCCTTGATGAATAAAGGTATATCTATTGAATTTCTTTTCATTTTCTGTAAATAAGACATCTGAAAAGAGAGAAGTAAATTACCATTGCCATTTTTAGTTTTTTTTATAAAAGTTTCTGTAAACATACTTCTGAGTGAATTTCATATATTGTGAATTGTACGAGTGTCTTTAAATGTAGTGTGCATATGCATGTTGATTTTATCAGGAAATTGTTTGTTGCACTTTTTGCCAAATATAATATTGATATCCTCAATTGGAAAAAAAAATCATTTTTGCTGTTATACATTTTGCAGTTTAATTGGAAAAATATTCATGTTGATGATTTATCTAATCGGGGACTATTCTTGGCGTTTGAATTTTTAGATTTTTTGAATTTAAACTTAGAAGAGATGACGTCCATCCTTTTCACGTGAATTCAGTGCATTTTCATATATTTCAGGGCAACCAAAAGTGTGAACTTCCAGCGGCCTCGAACCACAAGGAAACTGTTTTATAATCTACATGTAAATAAATGATGTCTCTACTACAAGCCACGAACTCGGAAGGCGCATATATGCGTTCTGAATCACGTAGTCGGTATCAATAATAAAATGTAATGATCCATTTCGTGAAAAATTCCCAACTGTTTATTAACTTACATATTCGTTGTGCAGCAAAATAAGTTTGTACATAACAAAACGGTCAGGTCGTTAGAAACCATTACTGCCTCGTTACAATGGGGAACGCTCCACCTCGAAATTCTTATAAGGTAGATCCAGACTATACCTCAACCGGAAGTACGGAGAGTTTACCCTCCCCTAGATGTTATCGTTACAACCTAACTCAGGGCAAAAGTCAAGGCCAATACGTCACGCCAACTATGACAATGAAAATATCATGTGAAAACTTGCAACATCTTTGTTGCAGTCCAGATGGGACGGTTTGGGTGTGTAGACGACCTCAGATACTCCAGCTTAATTCAAAAGGTCAACATCAGCTCGTTTTAGAAGTCAAAATTGAGATTTGTGGTTTGGCTGCAAGTAAAAAGGGCTCCCTAGTTTTCACAGATGGGAAAAACAAGCGTCTCATATGTACGGAATTTAATGATGACGTCATCACTAAGAAAGTCATGTCCACGGATGACTGGTACCCAATCGGCGTCTGCTGTGCCGAAAATGGTGATATCTTAGTTGGACTTTTTAAGCCAGAGGAACAGGGGAAAGTCAACCGATATGGCGTAAATGGAGAAACAAGAGATGCTATGCAACAAGACAGCAGTGGGAGTCAGTTGTTCAAATTTCCAGCTTTTGTCACTGAGAATGGAAATGGCGATGTTGTCGTTTCTGACCACCTTAGGCGCTCTGTGATTGTTGTCGATCGATGGGGAAGGTATCGATTCACATACACTGCAGAAAAGTTAAATCGCCCGGATGCTGTTCCTTTCTTACCGTTTGGAGTTTGCTGCGACTCATTATTGAACATCATAGTCTCTGATTGTTGCAATGACTGTGTACATTTAATATCCGTGAATGGTGAGTTCCTGCATCTGTTGTTTGATAAGACAAGTGGGTTGTACCGTCCTGTGGCACTATCCATGAGCTCTGAAGGAAAACTGTATATAGGGGACAGAAATGGTATAAAAGTTTTCGAATTGGACAGTCATAGATCATCTGTAGAGGATGGAAAAGGTTCAAGGGCTAACAGTTTCTCATCAGTAGGGCAATACAGGATTTCTAATGACAATGAAAAACTGAAGAAGTTAGAGAGTTTTCAAGTTATGTGTAAATCAAAAAGCTCATTAAGTCTAAAATTGACAACAGCTGAAGGTAACAATCACAATTACAACTTTGGAGTAGGAACTCCTTCGAGTCGATCCAAGACACGGACTCTTTCAAACCTGCCAAGAAATAACCCAAACATTGCTGTGTCCCCGAACACGTCCAGAAATAAGGCAAGTACTTTACCAAGAGTCACTGCTTTACTTAGCAAATCAGTTTCAAATTTGAATACCATTGCTTCAACTAACACGTCAGACATCGTAAAACCAGTATCATCATTCAAAACATCTACAGCGTCTTTGGCATCACCAAAAGTTTCTTCGAAGCATTCAACTGCATTAAAAGATAAACCAAACGCACTGATGACTTCTACATCCTTAGTTAACATTTCCCCTCAAGTTTCTAGATCACAGGCAAAATTAAATTCAGCCGCGCAGTTAACTGTATCAACAAAGACTACTTCTGAAGAATTATCGAACAAAATGAAAGAAGTATCGGTGTCCGCATTATCAAACAAATCATCGCCAGCTACGCTGGTGGTTTCATCATCAAATAAGCAACCAACATCATCACACATATCAAAAACTATTCAGACTTCAAATGCAGTAGCAAATAAACCAGTGGCATCAAAAACGACTATGTCATCAAAAGGGTCTGTGACGCCAAAATCGAATGTCACTGAAAAGGTTAAGTCAAAAGCTGGTGTTCTTTTTGTGGATTCAGCACCGGAGGCGCTTGAGTCCTCTAAAACATTGAACAACAATGTCGGTTCAAAAAAAGTAATTCGTGAAGAGACTCGGGATGGACAAGAACCTGCCAATGTTTCAAAACCAATTCAAACAAATTCAGTGGAATGTGCAAATGAAAGGTCTGACAAGACCGAAATAATCGAACACACAGAAACAAACACAAAAAAGGAAGATCCTTTACAAAGTAAATCGTGTACGGACATTAACAAAAGGATACCTTTAAAAGTGTCTGATGAAGACAATCCATCGACAAAATCGTCAACCTTAGGTAAAAAGAAAGTAAGAGATTCTAACATTATTGAGTCTACAAGAATATAACCGAGATATGTGTTTTTAAATTCGTGGCATCTTTATGGAAATTTATAGTGAAAATCAAGGAAAACATCTAACATTACACAGAATATAATATATTATGTATATAATGAAAGATGCTCTTCTTATCATCTTTGTGGAACCTTTTAAACTTATGTAAGGTGCAATAAGTTATTTCAAAATTATTCTAATAAGAAACTTGCGTTGTTGTGCAGTTTATTGACTATAACTTTTACGATTTCAGTATGAAACTTTTATTTTGAAAAGGAAGCACTTGTGATCTACATTTTAAAGAGAGTAAATTTCCAAAAAAGGAAGCAATGGGACTCATTTGGTTTGTAGAAAAGTAATTTCTTAAATTACAGTGATATGCAAGGGGTCTTGGAGTACGGTTGTAAACGTGCTTGGTTTGGACTTTTAACAGGTTAATTGTTTAATTTTAGCAATTTATATTGAGATCATTTACTTTCTTTTAACAAATCCAACAACAACACTTTCAATCAAAATCTTTATCTTTATATAATAATAATAATAAAAGAAACCCCAATTTGCAAAGAAGATTATGCTGCAAAAATAATTTATCAATTACCCTTTGAAACAGTTTGTCCAATATCTTTGTTCAGAACCTACAATTAAAATACACATTACCCATGTATGAACATTGTAATTATAGTTGGATAATTTAAACTTACAATTATTGTTTCTTGTACATTTCATTTTATTATTTTTTTTATATTCGTTATTAAAGAGTACATATGTAGAACACATGTATTATGTACAGTTATCAAATTGTATACAAGTGGCATCGTGTATTAAACTTTATGATTACAATGATGCATTACAAGTATGATTACAATGATCATTTTAATTATTGACAAAGTACTTATAATTCTGAAATGCGCCATCAGAGGCATGAAACTTCACTTCATTTATGTTTTTATGATTTTTGTGAAAAAAAAAATGTGGTGTTTATTTTTAAAAAGACTGCTAATTCATAATTAATTTTTAGTCTTTTTTTAAAAAAAATTAGTACATGGAGAATTTTAATCGTCCATTTCTTCCAGAATCCCTTGCTGATCAAGTCTTTGCTAAATATAACTGATAAAAATTAAAAAAAAAAAAGTAAATTATCCTTATGAACTATCCTCATTAAATATCCTTATGAACTATCCTCATTAAATATCCTTATGAATTATCCTCATTAAATATCTTCATGAACTATCCTCATTAAATATCCTTATGAACTACCCTCATCAAATACCCTTATGAACTATTCTCACTAAATATCCTACAAATATATACTTTTTTTTCTAAATCAGGTTATGTTTTATATTATAATTATAATATCAACAACTTCATAACCAAAATATGTGCTACATGTATATCAACGTCATCATATAGATTAAAATCAGTATATTCATTTAAAAAAAAATAAATACAGTGGCGCCGCGTTTATCCGGACGCCATTTTTCCGGACGCTTCACCTTCCGGACGATATTTTTGGGGAACCGATTTTTTCCACGTTATTCTGTCTCATTAATCCGGAAATTCGCGTTCCGTATCCGGACGGTCGATTTCTACTACAAAACGTAATAGTTCGTTGAAAAAATGACTCGTTTATCCGGACGGTAATTTTTCAAGAAACGGCTTTTTCTCACCCATCTTGCAGTAGTGTTAATTGTTGTAAAAACATTGACCATGTAGTCAGTTTAAAGGCGGTTACCTGTGACCTACAGACAAAAGCGTCTATAATTAGCGTGTGTTTACCCCAATTAAGTCACACGTCTATTATGAAACTCGAAAAATTTCGCTTACACTGTGCATTACTTAAATAATAATCCGTTCAAAATCATATTGCTAACCGTATATACATCGGTAAATTCATGAGAATTTTTGGAGAGTTGTAAATAAAAAGAACAATAAATTACGAGCGATTTCGTAATGGTCTTGATCATGTTGACTGTTAGTTTAAAATATGATTTTCTATTTCTAAAAACGTAAATGTATTTGAAACGCTTTTTTCTACATTAGGCAGAAAAGAAATATCTTTCTATTTAATGTACTACCGTCTATAAACGTACGTTACTTTAGAAAAGAAATATAAAACTGGCGTTACGTATAGAAGTTGATTACGTTTTTTCAAGGTATTTTTTGTGATCGAAATTCAAACTTAGAGTCTTTAGAAAAAAATAATTGATAATCATTAAGATTGCTTGTGTTTATGTTGAATGTTTACAATACTTTCACTGATTGCGCGTGTTTGAGATAGCTTGAAGTGTTCAGTTACTATAGTAGCCCTGTGTAAAGAATATACGGGAATATACAGGGTTAGTTTATATTTGAACATTTTCAATGATGATGCTGAACAGTTCTGTCATATTATATGAGCTTCAATAATTATAAAAGATAGTGAAATAAAACAACAGTAGATCAAAATTTTCTCAGCTCATGAATTCACGCCAAAAGAGAAGGCGAATAAAATTCCCTGCGTTAAAAAAGGTCTCAGCATAAAATTGCCTAGTATCAATTTTTTTATCGCATAAATTACATTTTAATATGTTTTTTTCTTTACTTAATTACTTCTTTTAAAGCTAAAAAATAAAAAGTTTAAACCAAAATATCAGTTTTTTCCCCTTTGCCTTTACATTTGATACCAGTATGTGCATATACACATGCTTGGAGAAGGTTTTTTTTTTTAGAAGCGATTCACTTATCCGGACGATTCATTTATCCGGACGTTTTCGTTGGGAACGGAAGCGTCCGGATAAACGAGGCGCCACTGTACATGTATCATTATCAGTGATAGCACTTGAGGTAAGACCCGCGTGAAAATAGACTGTAAGAATTGCACAAAAGAAAGATCAAAATATGGTTAGGGCTAGATTTTGGTCACTTCGATAACATGAACATTTACAAAGGTGAAATCGCGATAGTTTGAAAAGTAAATCCCTCAACTGATCCCTAGTTCAAAACAAGTGTTCAATTATTTATTATTATTTATATATATTTTTATTTATTATTTAAAATATCAATGAATTTTTATCATCAGAGATACATGATAGTAAAATGTTAGGCAATTTCCAGGGTTCGTAAACTTCAAATGAATTTTCACTGAATAATAAATACATTAAAAAAAGTTTATTTTTGAGTTACACGAATATCAACCGAACTTGTCTTGTTTTCATCAATCGAACTTGATTTATTTTGTAAAGGCAATTGAGTCTAATAAAAATGCAACACATATACCAAAATGTATTTTAAGACTGAGGAACAATAATTATAAATTGACGGAAATGTAACAACTTTGTGAACTTCCTGTGAATCTTGTGTTTTGCTATCACAAAAAAAAACAACAACATAAAAACAATTAATTAAATTATATTCTCATTTTGACACAGGCTTTAACACAATGAACCAACGCACTGTTCTGTTATTCCTAAAGGGAAAATATTGATTCAGGTTTATGTTAGTAAATTCAGCATAGATTGATTGATTGATTGTATGTTGTTTTACGTCCCATTCGAGAATTTTTCACTCATATAGAGACGTCACCATATACCGGTGAAGGGCTTCAAATTTTGACCTTTACTCGGCACTCAGGGCCATTGAGCAGTGAGGGATCTTTATCGTGCCAACGCCTGCCGTGACACGGGGCCTCGGTTTTTAAGGTCTCATCCGAAGGACCCGCAACTTTCACTTCAAAGTGCCGAGCGCCTGCATAGATTGAAATACGTAATCAATGTCATCGTCGTGAATTCATGACATCAAATGTACATGTATTATGATGCTTTTCAACCTATTAACAATAGATTTAAACAGAGACAAATGATACAAAAGAATGATTAGTCACACTCAGTGTATTTCTGCATCATCAATTGATGCTACATGTACATCATTCAAAAAACCTCAATGTCTGATCATGAAAGGTAAATCTGATTACAGCAATGATAAGTAAATAGAATCCCTGCATATTGCGGGAAGTCCTTGAGAGTAAATTAGGACTGGGTATTGGCCAGAACTTTCGTGTTGCGATATACTGCAATACTTTTAACTGTATTGCAATAGGTATTGCAGTATTTTCAACGAAAATTAAAATGGCATTTTCTTATTTATTTATATTAACTTCCATTTACATGCAGAATGTACAAATCTATGTTAAGTAAGCAAAAGGGAAAAATCCGATTGATTTAATTACAGTTATGCACTGAAATACACCCATATAACAGCTTCTGTCTTACTGTTTGGCTTAATTACAGACCTTTCCGACAGTGTTTTTTTTATATTTAATGATAAATTTCCCGAGTGTATATGTATATGTAGATTTGGAGACTAGCTCTTTAACAATCTGTTGTATTTACCATGGGTCTTTATTGTGTCGTAATTAATGACCTGTTTTTGTATTCATATTAAGCAGAATTTATTCAATATCTTCTACATGACTAGAAGAAGTCTCATGCTGTAGCCCTCCATTCGACATTCAGATACATCGATGACTTTTTATCAATTAACAATATTCATATTGATTCCTACTTTGTTTCGATATACATGTATCCCACTGAACTCAAAATAAAAGACATCACAGAGTCTGACACAACTGCTTCATATTGGGATGGATGATGTAGTTAAGACATTGATGACATATCTTATGATAAATGTGCTCACCTCAACTTTTCTATCGTTAACTTCCCTTGTTTATATGTAGCAATTTATATACCATTGTCACCTGCGTATGGAGTTTATGTCTCCCCGTTGATTCGATACTCAATGGCAAGTAGAATTTTTGGAACAAGGCAGGATATTGACAAATAAATGATGATACAAGGATATCAACAATCTCGGTGAAAGTCAGTATTTCGTAAATCCTATGGTCGATACAATGACATTGTTTACAAATACAATTTGTCATTAGGTCGAAGTTACCTGACGTCTTCATACAATTTTAAGCCAATATTTTCACACTGAATTGTCTACGGATTTTTCCGTTTACCCGATCATGACAAGTAGCACAAGGCGGGTATTACAGATTTACACCTCCTTGGCACCTGATCCGTGTTGGCGCTGCTCACAATTTTTATTGTTTAAATGGACTTTTGAGTATGATCAATTTTCGTTATTTTCAAATTTGATTTCCAAAATTATACTGTAGGAAATTGAATACTAGAAATTTCCATTAATACATCATTTTTTTAAAATATGTTTTCTTGGAAGGGAAAATACTACAACGACTCTTTAAAATTACTTTGGAAAACAAAATTCTTTCTTGCATTATATTGAATACTGAAGATATGGTATACAAGGACTTTTCAGCAAATACAATGTATCATAAGTCAAATACTGACTGACGTTTCGTTTAACATATCAGGACAAGGAGCACATTGCTTGTGTGACCGGTCTCCATGGGATGCTTACTCCTCTGTGGCACCTAGTCCTACCTCTGATGTTTTTAGAGGTTCGTCTTTGCTCTGCTTCCAGTTTGCATTGTTTCAATGGACTCTTGAGTTTGATTACTGTTCATTACCTTCATATTACTTTTTATACATATCAATTTCCAATCCACATCATTTAACTGATATTTCTTGCAGTTGAAATGTATTTTAATGTTTAATGCTTACTGCGTAAAATGTTCACATGGAAAAGTTACTGAAAGTTAAACAAGATGAGTTTGTAAAACACTGATGTCCCCGTTTGACATTGCGAAGTTTGCAACTCATTGACACGTTTCTCAAATGCAAGTCAAACTCTAAGGTCAAAAGGCAGAAAGTGTTGGTACCAAAAGAAAGGATTTGAAACAAGGAATATACATATGAAATATGAAAGCCTTTGCACCAACCGTTCAAAAGATATTACCAAGGTTACAGTTTTTCAACAGTAGGTCATACTACAAGGTAAATGTCAACGGTGAAGCCTTTGTCACAAGAAATGTACATTTGAAATATGAAGGCCCTAGCATCAAACGTTCAAAAGTTATGGCCAAGTTTAAAGTTTGGTAAAATTTTGCAAAATTGGGTCAAACTCCATCAAGAGATAAATATTGGTTCCCAAATATCTTGTCACAAGGACTACACAAGTAAAATACGAATTCCATAGCTCCAGCCAAGCAATATTAAAGCTTTTGCAGACGAACAGACAGACCAATAAACTATATGTATTGAATCTTCGATTAAGGGGGTTTAAAATCCGTGGGGTTTTATTTCTTCTTCAGCAAATACACTCTATATCATTGAAATAATTGTTACACATGGGCTGTATTTGAAAATTGTTTCCTCTTATCAAAGCGGTGGAAGGCTTGCATATTCATTTAAAAATTCTATGTCACTGGCTTCGGTCCCCCTGCCCAATTTTGATGAATTTAAATTCATACTTTTCTTGTTTTTATTTTTTTTTTTCACTATCCCATTAACATAAAAAGGGGAAGTATACATAAATTTAGCAAAGTCCTTAAAACTCTTTGAATGAGATATGGAGAAAACGAACAGTATTCAAGCCCATAGTCCATTTAAACAAAATAAATCGGGAGCAGAGCAAACATGGACCTCCAAAAACAGCAGAGGCGGAATCAGGTGCAATGGAGGAGTAAGCATCCCCTGTCGACCGGTCACACCCGCCGTGCGCTCCTTGTCATGATCGGGTAAACGGAAGAATCCGTAGAAATTTCGGTATGTAAATAATGGGCTAACAATTAGTATGAAAAAGGTCAGTCAGTATCCGACCCAATGATAGACTGTATTTGCCGACAAGGTCACCGCATCGACCATAGAACTTGCAAAATGATGACTTCAAACGAGACTGTCGATATCCTTGTTTCTTCAACTTGTTGGTTATAATAACTTGCCTCGTTTTAAAAATTGATCGTATGTAGAACATCATCTTGCGCATAGAATTAACTGGGAGACATAAACCCCATATGAGGGTTGGGTTTTGAAGGGAATAGTAAAAATAACAATTGATGAAACTTTATTGACAATTTTTACCATGTTTTCTTATTTCCATGAGAATTAATAACTGTGTATAAAGAGTATTTCAAATAGTTTTACAAGAGGTATGTTCACATAGGTCATATTTAATTATGTTTACCTTTTACTTCCTCTTTATAAATGTTGAAAAAGTATAAACTGAATGGCTCTCCTTCTCATCATTACAGCTCATTACGTTTTAATCTAACGTGCTTTTGTGAACTTATCTAATGCACATTTTGAAAGTAAATATATATTGCTACTAAACAAAGGCACAAACAAAAAAATGAATTATGCAATTTTATTGAATTTTTTATATTAAGAATTGATAATCTTAGTTGCTACCTTTTCTGCAAGAATGGCAGCCTTGCTGCAATTAGGCATCTCAAAACAAAAAGATTTCAGGGAGATTTTCTTTGGAATTCAAAAACGTTCTTGCTAGCGTGACTTCCACATACCATTTAATTTATAAGTTGTTTGTATGTTTTGAATAATGTCTGGTCTGTTTTATTTGACCCCATTTTTTAATAACGTATGTTCTAGTGCAACGGAAGTTAAGAAAATACATTTCCCTATTGTGCTTTCCAAAACATCTTAGTTGAAATTTACGGTGAAATATGACTTTGGTAAATAAAAATATCCCTAAGGCTAAAAAAGACTTTTGGAAGACCCTCAAGCGGGAATCCTACTCAATTCCAAAGACATTCAGTAAAATCCTTATTTATAGCAAACCTAGTGTTATAAGGCTGTTATTTTCGCAAAAGGGGGAGCAACTAATTATCAGAAAAGAAAACTTCAATGATCATGAATGTGAAAACTATTAAAATTGCAGAATTCATTACATCTTGTGTTTGAGCCTTTGTTTAGTAGCAATATATTTATTTCCAAATTACGCGTTTAATTAGTTCACAAAAGAATTTTAGGCTAAAATGTTTTGAGCTGTATAGTAATTTATTTAAAGACATAATAATTATCCAAAAATGCATTCAAAGAAGAAAATAAAACAGTGCCGGATTCAACTACTGAGGAGTTTTAACCTGAGAGGCGAAGTATATGTACAAATTTCTCTCTTAGTTTATAATTATTTTTGTGAATTTTCATGACACAAATTTTGAAAAGACCAATTCAGAAACAACAACTTCTGTCAGCTTTTCATTTTGGTGAATTTTGCTATAAAAAATCCTATTGTGTCTTTATTATAAACTGCCATGTTATCACGTGACTCAACACACGATGGGTCAAACACCTGTAATAATTGTTGCAGATTCTTTGATAATCCTGAACAACGTCTTCCAGGGGACCCTAGATTTGGAACCTGAAATAAACATAAATATGTTGCTTTTAAAATGCATTTCAACCTAAAATTCTAGATGTTATCTATGGTTTATATACATACATCGTAACAAAGTGAAGTTCATATTTACAAACACGTCCTTGAATTCTGAGATATCATAATAGAAATTATAATTCCTATATACATTAAAGGATTTCTTTTCTTTCTTTTTTTTTTTTTTACAAATACAATAATTTTCAAATTATTCCTTTTTATGAAAAAATGTGATTTTTTATTGGATTTTACTACATGTACCCAAGATACGGATGGATATATCATTTTGTGATATACAATGTGTCATTTTATGACCTGTATGGATATATCTTTGTATCATCTTATGACTTGTATGTTATATCATTTCATGATACGTGTGGATGCATCATTTCAAATTTTCTATATTAACTCCTTATCAACACTGGCACAGAAAGGAAAATGTTAGTTAGAAGTGGTAAAAGGTTCGAGGAAAAAATAACTAAAGTTAAAAATTCCATTTCTTCCTCTATATACTAGTACAGAAATGTCGGTCTTACTTTCAACTGACTCCAAGTATTATTGGATGGATGGATGGATGGATGGATAGATAGATAGATAGATAGATTGTTGTTGTTTTACGTCTTGAGATTTTTCACTCATATAGAGACGTCACCATATACCAAAGAGCTTCAAATTTAGACCTTTACTCGGCACTCAGGGCCATTGCGCAGTGAGAGTTCTTTATCGTGCCAAAGCCTATCGTGACACGGGAACTCAGTTTTTAAGGTCTCATCTGAAAGACCCGCGACATTCACTTCTTATGTCGGGCGCTTGGCGAAGAAACAGTACCTACCTATGTTTAAGCCTTATGCCTAGGTCACATTTAAGCCGACGGTCGAGCGACCAAAAATTATCTCGTATTGTCGGCTGAAATAATAAAACTGATCGGCCGACACTAGTATCGGGCGAGGCAGAGTAGTCACATTCATTCCTAAGAACACCGATGCCTTAAAAAGTAAAAATATTTATAAGTCGGTTAGCCGTCGCCCGATCAACGTTCGCTAGACCTAGGTTTGTTTTTCACTGTCGTCCAACGTTTACGAAAACCCCATTCCTAAATGTCGACCGACCAACGACCGACTTTAAAAAAATGTCTGCTGATTGTCGGACGATGATCGAAGGTTGGTCGACGGACTATTTAAAGACTGCTTCGAAAATGAAGTAATCGGCCACCGATGCAGAAAAAATTATAACTTGGTCCTACTGACTCAAAATTGGTCGGCCGGCGAAAAAGAGGTCAAATCGCACAAGACAATGGTCGATGAACTGCCGACAGTCGCCCGAAGAATCCTATTTTTGCCTAAAAAACCGTCGGCCGTTCATCGTTTTTGGAAATGAGACTGGGGTTTCAGGTTTGACGGAGAGTACCAAACAATAATCGAACTCGTGCCTCCCGATCACGAAGCGAACGCCCTAGCTACCAGTTGGCTACCGTGACCGGACGTATATCATTAAATAGAGTTATGTATTAAATTCATTTAATCATAACATGAGGACTTTCTTTCCATCAAATTTTACTCGATGATTATTCTTAGTGTGTTAAAAATAATATATGACAGAATTGTGTGCAAAGTTTAAAGGACTTCAGAATCAAAATAAATATTTTCCCCAACACACCCAAGTCTATAAATATTACATGTATATGAGAAATTTTATATAAAAATGACATTTTGGATTTGTGACATTTAAACACTAGTCTATTTCTGGAATAAGTTTTTAGTTTGATGTAGCAATTTAAACTATCATTTTTCCGTATCAATAAGGTTATATATTCACAAGGAAATTGCGACTGTATCAAATTATTAACTTGTTCAATTTCGTACACTCGAATTCAAGCAAAGTGTGTGTGTATTAATTGCTATTGTAAAACACTTCCTTAAGCAAATACTTCAAAAATGCACATTAAAGTTCATGTTAATAAATGTTACGATTTTACTGCCTGAGAGAAGAAGAAAAAAACTTTGGGCATAAGTTAAGCATTCCTAAACAATATCAATACTTATCTGGTTTGAAAGTAAAATGTCTTAAAGAATCAATGTAGTTATTTTTGGCCATACGAGTTTTCAATTTTTTTTCTGATAAATTTTGGTCTTTTTTAATAGGTTTTATTCGGAATCTTTCTACGAAATCTCCAAGTTACAACATCTTTCAAATATATAGCATAGTAATTCACTTTCAAACCAGATAACCGTTCACGTAGCTCAGTCGGTAGAGCGCTCGCTCCGTGATCGGAAGGTCGTGAGTTCGAACCTCGGCCGCGACTGACATAAGTCGATAAAAAATGGTAGCAACTGTTCCTTCGTCATGCGCACGGCACTTTGGACTTCGGATGAGACCTTAAAAATCGAGGCCCCGTGTCACGGCAGGGTTGGCACGATAAAGATCCCTCATTTCTCAATGGCCCCGAGTGCCAAGTAAAGGTCAAAATTTGAAGCCCTTCGCCCGTATATGGTGCCGTCTCTATATGAGTGAAAAATTCTCGAATGGGGCGTAAAACAACAAACAATCAATCAATCAAACCAGATAATTATTGTACATGGTTTGCATTGGTTTCATTTTTCAGTCATAATGAACCGTGAATGTATATACAACTGTACATAACTCCGATACGATATATCTATGTAGAATAGGTTCTTGAATTCTGCCATTCAAATCAATTACAATTACAAAGAATATCATTCAATATAAGATATTCCTTCTAAGTACATTTCAGGAAAACTTAAACAGTATGTTACGATTTTCATAGAAAAGAGTTATGTATTTAATATTAAAGTTCATTACTAAAACAAGAAAGTTTTAGAAGTTCAAACAGAAACGAAACTTGTTTAGAAATTTATGAAGTTCGTTTAATAAATGAGATAAAGAATTTATCTCATGAACTTCAAGAATTAACCTCACTGTAAACACTGTTGCTTTTTCTTTCCATCGTTTTTTACTTAGTTTAAAATGATTACTTTAGTGTACCTGGTTTAAGAAAGATATTAATTGGTCATATCCATGGAAGATTTTGAGTGCGTTTAGTATATTCAAAACCTTTTTTTTCTTCAACACATAGCTACCAGAGGTAATCAATTTTCCCTTAAATATGTCTGAAAATATGCCAGATATATAAATGTGACTTTTTGGACTTGTAACATTTGGACTCTAGTTTATTCCAGAATTAATTTTTTCCTTTGATGTGGCACTTTAAACTTTCATATTTTTTTCGTATCAGCATGGTTATACCTTTACCAGGAAATTGTGAATGTGTCAAGTTATTAAGTGAATATGTTCAGTTCCATCAACAGTATATTCAGAGTAGTTCATTAAATCAATCCTAGCAAAGCTGTATCTTAATTGCTTTAGTAAAACATTTCCCTATTCAAATACTTCAAAAATGTGCCTCAAAGTTCATGCTGTTGAATTTTAAAATACCGGTATTTATACTCCTTTACCACTAACTGTTAAAAGTTTGTTTTTTTTTTCTGGCTGAGAGAAAAAAAAGGACAATAATTACTAAGAGGTACTGTGAGCACTGAGATTACAAAATAATACCCCCACTCCCATACGAGTACAGTGGCACAGTTTGTGTTTTGTTATGGGAAACCCAAAATATTTGTCCAATCAAAAACCTAAAATAAGTGCACAATGGTATTATGTAATATGAATTCTGTGAAAATCTCATTAAATTTCATTGTGGTTATAGGATTTGTGGATAAGGGATGGCTACCCCAAATGACTTGTTCCTCACATACTCTGTTACACATAAATCTTCTTGTTATGTATTAAGCTCAAAATAAATTCTGATAGGACTTATTTTAAATATGAGAGATTGGCTCATATGAGCTAAATGGAATGAGCTCATTTATGCTGTGAGAATAACTTTATCACAATTTATTATTTTTAGATCAATTTATTTGAGCTAAATGATAAGCTTACTTGAGCTCTAAGAAAAAAACTTACCAGATCTTTAATGGAGTGGCTTACATATCTTATACTGAAACAACTTACTTTATTTATTATTTTATTTAAGTATATCAAAAATTGTAAAAAAAAAAAATAATAATAAAATCAAGTCCACTTAACGGAGGTTTAAGGGAGCCTTGAGCAATCAGTGAGAATTATGCTGACTTGAGAATGAGGAACAAGCTTGGCAAAGCTGTGAGATAGACTTACTTGTCAATGAGCTGAGTGCTACATTCATCTGAGCTGTGAGACAGACTTATCTGAGCTGTGAGACAGACTTACAAGTTGTGAGAAAGACTTACCTGACCTGTGAGATATACTTGCCTGAGCTCTGAGAAAGACTTACCCGAGCTGTGAAATATACTTACCTGAAATGTGAGATATATTTGCCGGAGCTCTTAGATAGACTTACATAGCTGTGAGATAGACCTACCCAAGCTGTGAGATAGACTTACCTGACCTGTGAGATACACTTGCCGGAGCTCTGAGAAAGACTTACCCAAGCTGTGCGATAAACTTACCCAAGCTGTGAGAAAGACCTACCCAAGCTGTGAGATAGACTTACCTGAGCTGTGAGCTGTAAGTCTGGGAAGTTTTCTAACACCCACACAACTTGTTTTTCATTCTCCTCCAGTGTAACTGTACAGGTACTGTAAACAAGGACTCCACCGGGTCGTAGAAGCTGGACAGCCTGAAAGTACACAACAGGGGTTTCAATTTTTCCTAAAAATTAACTGGTCCAAGGACTACTTATTGAAAGATAAAAATTCATGTATATTCCACATTTTCCCAGTCAATTGTCAGTGTCAGTGCATTGCTTGTATTCTTTGTTATTATAGCCTAGGTTCAAACACCTAACTGATAAAGATACAAATTGGATATGAGATTTATTGATACATGGGGCCAAAACATAGTTAAGCCATAACAAATGAGACAGCAAAACAGTATTAAATCTTGCAAACAAATTTGAAATTTGTATAAACATATATTTCTCTTTTACTAAATAAATCTTCATAATTGCTTAAGTAAGTGGTATGTAAAATTTCAGTAGCCCCCGCACTGCAAACTTGATGACTTGTCTAGCAGCCCAACCTCAATTTTCAGTTGTTCCAGGCAAGTGGGCTACTCTTGGTGTTGAACCCTGGTTTAATACTACCGTGTGTAGAAATCTTCTCTCATATCTCAAGTACAAATTGAGTGAGCTCACACTGACATGGTTTAATACTACCTTACGCATGAACTTTCTCTGGTATCCCGAGTACGATTTGAGCGAGTTCAGAGTGATGTGGTTTTTGAGTGATGGTCTCTGACCAAGGGCACTGCAGGGGACGTCCAACAAAATACGGTCAAAATATTCTGCTGGGAATTCTGGGAAGTTCAGGTTGCCACCTGCAATAATAAGGGAAGTAATAAAATGATTGTGTACTTTACAAGAGTAAAGACATCATACATGTTGACAGAGTCTCTCTATGAAAGATATACATGTACATGTACTGTATGTAGTTTAAATAAATATTAATTTAGGTTTTAATTTCATGGTTGAAGGTTTCCCTAAAAATCCATGAGAATTGAACCCCCCCCCCCCCCCAATATATATATATATATATATATATATATATATATATATATATATATATATATATATATATATATATATATACATGCATATGTATATGTTATAATTCTACAGTTATAAGCAACCTATCTACATAATCTTCTTGCATTTTTCTTTATAAAAATGTTTCATTCTGGATAAAAATTGTGGAGTACATTTCTTAAAATTTGAGTCAGACCTATTTCTTTTATGCTTGATCTCTAAATTAACCACTACAGTGGTATTTGCTAGAATAGATAATCTAGCTATCTTGAACAGACCACTTAACTACCTACCATGTGTCAGAGTTTGCTTACAAAAAAATTAATTTTCTGGAAGTTAGGCAAAGTTAAATGAAAAGGTATCTGAAAATAATAATTTAATTCCCTAAAATAGAGAAAATAACATCTGCAACTTAGGAAAGTATTTCATTTGATGTAAAAAGTAACTAAAACAGCCATCTTTGATTTGATATTTAGCATCAAATATTTCCCTAAATTTCCCTATGTAATGGATAGGCTTACTCAAATATAAACCCTATCTTTCCCTATGTACCAGTAACAGCCAGGCTTACTCAAATATTGACCCTGTCTTTCCCTATGTACCAGTAACGGCCAGGCTTGCTCAAATATTGACCCTGTCTTTCCCTATGTACCAGTAACGGCCAGGCTTGCTCAAATATTGACCCTGTCTTTCCCTATGTACCAGTAACGGCCAGGCTTGCTCAAATCTTGACCCTGTCTTTCCCTATGTACCAGTAACGGCCAGGCTTGCTCAAATCTTGACCCTGTCTTTCCCTATGTCCCAGTAACGGCCAGGCTTGCTCAAATCTTGACCCTGTCTTTCCCTATGTACCAGTAACGGCCAGGCTTGCTCAAATCTTGATCCTGTCTTTCCCTATGTACGAGTAACGGCCAGGCTTGCTCAAATATTGACCCTGTCTTTCCCTATGTACCAGTAACGGCCAGGCTTGCTCAAATCTTGACCCTGTCTTTCCCTTTGTACCAGTAACGGCCAGGCTTGCTCAAATATTGACCCTGTCTTTCCCTATGTACCAGTAACGGCCAGGCTTGCTCAAATATTGACCCTATCTTTCCCTATGTCCCAGTAACGGCCAGGCTTGCTCAAATATTGACCCTATCTTTCCCTATGTCCCAGTAACGGCCAGGCTTGCTCAAATATTGACCCTATCTTTCCCTATGTCCCAGTAACGGCCAGGCTTGCTCAAATATTGACCCTATCTTTCCCTATGTCCCAGTAACGGCCAGGCTTGCTCAAATATTGACCCTATCTTTCCCTATGTCCCAGTAACGGCCAGGCTTACTCAAATATTAACCCTATCTTTCCCTATGTACCAGTAATGGCCAGGCTTGCTCAAATATTTACAACAGCTTACACTTCATTCATGATTTCAGCTCTACATAGATCTATGAACTAGCTGCTACAATCTTGACTTTCATCAAACATAACAGTTTCTATTTCTTTACATCCCAAATCAAAATTGTAAACAAATAGCAATACATGTACAAGCAAATCAATAAAATATATCAATGAAGCTAGAGAATTCCCTTCCATGTTTAATCTTCAGCAACATAAAAATACATCGTCCTATATATTTTTTTTCTTGGCTACTGTAGATTCCTAAATATACGTGATGAATTATCGTGCAATTTTGTGAGAAGCACCACTCACAAAATAAAATTACTCACTTTTATTTTTAAGGAGCCAAACTCCATGTAAAACTTCTAGTACAAACATACACTCGTGAATTATTGTTCTTGCCATTTGGTGTCAAAGGGCCATTGCACGATATTAAGTAGTCGCATAAAGTAAGGAATCTACAGTATTTTTTAAGTAGGGCTTTTTTTCCTAAATTCTAGAAATACATATAAGAGCAAAGCTGTAGATTGCACACAACACAGAAACATTACCAGCGGGAACTACAGAGATCCTCAGTGCATCGCAGGCGTAACAAGTCACACAGGTCAGGCCCCACTTCTCTAGGTTAGACCTGATCTTATCCACCTTGTGATCTGACCGGTCAATAGCTATCACCTCTCCCTATACATAAAGGTAAGCAACAGTTGTAGCAACATCATTTACATACTTGTCTCCATAACTTTGTTAATACTTTTATCACAAAAGTTTCAAAATATGATTATCCTTTAACTCTTAACCATTTTTTATCATTATCAAGGATGAAATCATTCCTGGTATAGTTCAAGTTATAGATATAGCCAAGATTGACAGACATAAAATTTTTAAGCCACAATAAACCAGATGAATGGACCAAATACAAAATTTTCATAGAGTCGAACTCTATCATCCAGTTTAAGTAGTCAAAATATCTAAATTCAAAGATTTGGAAGGGGGGAAGGGGGATAATAGTCATTCTGACGTTCACCAAACACATCAACTTTTGAAATACATGTGTATGCATGTAAAAATTACATACAGAACCTTGTTTTTCATTTTGCTGGCAATGTGAGTTGTCTTCCCTCCTGGTGCTGCACACATATCCAGAATTCTCTCCCCTGGCTGTGGGTCAAGGACATGTGTACATATGATAGAGGGCAAGTTCTGGGCCAGAATCAGGTCAGGTCGAAGGTCACTGAGACATGGGGCCTCATACAGAGGCTCTGACATTAAAATTCCAACTCCACTGTAATAAATATTAACATTTATAATAAACATACTTTTCCTAAAAACAATCAATGTACACTCTTTATTTACTTTATCCCACAGGTTTATAGTGATTTCAAAGATATACATATTCAATATTTCCAAAATTATGGTGTTATTTGAGTCATTTTTAAACAAGATATTTAAGGTAGATAACTCTTCACACCACAATTAAAAATTATAAAAAACTTAAATTTCTCACTATAGAGCAAAACTGACCTAGATTTTCAATCTACTGAGATTTATGATTAATATGTACCTCGGAGTTGGTTTGGTTTTGAATATGTCATCTCTACTGAGCTGTGCCACACCATTTCCTACATGGAACCTGGATCCACCTAGGGGCTGCATGTCACCTTTCAGATATTTCCCTTCGAGATCAATATACACAGAAACCATGTCACCTGACATCATGTCTATCAAAAAATAAAATAAATTGTTCATAAGAAAGGATCACTTACATTTTTTTTATTCATTCAAATATATATTTCTGGGAATATTAGAAATTATCATATGTCTATGAAGAATATCCGCATATGGATACAGTCAAATATCATATCTAGAACTTCATGGCATCAAAAATAAACTTTGAGGTATCCAAAGATTCGAGATAACAAGGCTAAAAATCATAAAGAAAAACTTGTTGGGAGTAACAAATCACATCGATATATCCCTGCTATTTAAGATATCAGTGTTTGGGATACCAAAGTTCAACTGTAGTATTTTATCTGTACGTTTCCCCTTGACCCCTTAACAAATTCCTCCCCCCACCCTCTGCCCCCTTCTACACCTACTGTTCACATCCCTCCTTTGCCTCCTCCCCTTCCCCTCCCATTCTTCATATTACCCCTCACCATTTATATCTTACTTGCAGGTGCCCCAATTATTCCTTGAACAAATATGTCTGCTCCCCGTAACACAGCCATTCCACATCTGTGATCGATGACCACCTCCTTCTCCATCTGAAAACAATATGGACAACTGAAAGTTTTATCTGTAATTTTGTTTTGGACATTCTTAGATTAGCTCTGGGTAGCAGCATAATTTCACTTGGTAATTTAAGCCTCCCTGTTACATTAAAGTCACAGATCAGGTTCAATTTCTATAACAGACCAAAAAAGAAAATTCTGCTGCTCATCACTAACTGCAGAGATTTTTTTCATTGTTCAGATAAATAGATTTTGAGAGCTCTTAAAACAGGGATGTGTATTTCAATTCTTACAACTAAAGTGTTTATTATCTGACAAAAATACCATGATACATTATTTTCTACTTAGTCTAAGCCGACTCCAAGAATAAAATGGCCACTAGGTCCCTAACCGGATTTTTGATTTATAAAATGGGGACTTATCAAAATGGTTGACTTCAGTTTTGAGAAATTTACCTCTTTTATCTGCAGTGGTCCTCGATTTTCTATGACAAGTACATCCTCAAGGGATGGGTGGAGAAATATTTGGGGTGGATCCCAGTTTTTGCTTTTATAAATCTTCAAAAAAGAATAATGAAAATTGATTTACTTGAACTTGTAATGCTAATTTTGATGTGAAAATTTCAATTAATGGTTGTGCAAGGTGTTTCAAGATATTGATATACAATTAATGAAATTACAGTTTTCGGTCTGAAGATTTGGGGTAATTTGATCATGTTAAACAAGTATTTCCTCTTTTAACTTAGAAGGTAAAGGCTATGCTATTTACCAACATCCTTCTAGGAAATTTTTGTAAGGAAGGAAAAATCAACCCAGTTAATCATCACAAACAAGTATTACTTCATTTCCTTACACAAGTATAAACATTCAACACGTTTTTTGTTGTTGTTGTTTTTTGTTTTCCTTATTTATTCCTTTTTCCCATGAATATACTTGCATTTCATTTTTTGATGCTATACAAACATTACTTCACAGTGATATAATATTAAATTGCATTGATAACCTGATAAAAACCAATTATAAGATGACAATAATGTATGAAGTCCTTAAAGAAAGTGAATTAATATTTCTTTTCTTTTTTCTTTCTTTTTTTTTTTTGCATTGCACTACTAGGTAGATGTCAGAATTTCATTTAAAAAATGTGTAGTAAAATATAACATCTATTGCTTAAATATCTGAATGATGAACACCTCATCCAACTGATTTACTACAATGCAATCACTCAGTGCTTAATTTTTAAGAGCAAAGATGGCTTGGAACAAATGAATTTGTACAAAAATTGCCATATACATGTTGCAATGGAATATTATGGAAGAAAGAAGCCACAGAGGAAAGCTGGTTTACAATAAGTTTAGATCCATACACTCATATAAGCATAAAATGATTTATTTGACGTATCACCATTGTACTAGTTGATGTGTAATTAGGATGAAGACTGTTTGTACCATTGTGAGTTCTTCATTTATAATTGCCTTTATTTCCTGACTGCTGAGTTTTAACATATTCACTCTCAGTGTGGTGTACAGCGGTGGTGAAGCCAGTACCTCCAACAGTCGCCTAAAGGACAGCCTGCATTTGTCTCCTTCCTTGTAAATCATAAAACTTGGAATTATATTTATTAAATTTAAAAGTTCTGTGATGCATATGGTGAAATATAATTTAAACCTATTGTCATTGATATCTAAAATAGTGAAGTCAGTAAGATATCTGTTTATATGGACATCTGAATCAGTTATAAATTATACACGACTCACAGTTAGTGAATCAATGTCTGCCAACTATCCAGGCAGTGCCCCCCCCCCCCCCCCCATAATTTAGCTGATATATAGTCTACTATAGAAAACATACCTACTTTATGCTTGTGCCCCCTCAATAATGTCCAAAGACCTTTTTATTTTTTGCTTTTCAAGGAATTTTTGCTTGGTAGTGCCCTCCCCCAAATGAAATTGCTTCCTATTTGCCTGCTGTGACACTATTACTTTGGACTTTTGACACATGAGATATTTATAACTTGGTTCTTGGTTTAACTGACTGAATGATAAAAAAAAACCCACATAATACACAGTCTTGCAGATATCGACATTAATGTACAGGTATGCATTTAATATTACATGAATGCTACCAAGCAGAAGAGGACCCCCATACATCCACATCCTTATCTCCATGCAACGAGCCCATGTGCGGAGTTGGATCAAGAAGTCCACACCCTATCCCCACCCTCTCTCAGTTAAAATGTTCTCTGTAGCTATTGATGTGGACCCCCCCCCCCCCCCCCGGGAAAAAATTCTGGATCAGCGCCTGGAGCATGAACTCCAAATGAAGTCTTCTTTGTTCTAATGATCTTTAATTACAGAAAAATGTGTAGGATTTCACTTGTTTTTGTGCCATATAGTCTGCTCAATCGAGATTCACCTCGGTTTCAGCTAGAAATGTAGCTTCTAAATAACTTTTAACGTCCTCCCTTAGTTCGACCTGAGGTTTCTCCATACTTAAACTGGCTTTAAACAGACATCTAATAAACAAATTTCGCTAAATTATTAGTAATAGAGTCCTCTCATCATCACACGTGTATCACAATGTTTTGGTCCGTTTAGAATATTCAGGACATCGATCCCGAGCTAAATTCACATGCATAAAATTTTAAAGTAGTATATCATTTGAATATTAATTGATGATATTTAGATTTTATGCAATAAGTTAAATATTTGTTATAACTACATAAAATAAACAAGAGCTTTCAAGACATTATGACTCTAATCACTTGTTTTCTGTTGTGAAAAAAAAAAAAAATCTGACAGATCTAGATCAATTAATATTATAATACCTAATTAATTTATATAATAATAAAATGCTTCCTTGTCTTCATTTATTGAAAATACTAAATATCTCATTATACAAATAAAAATTCTATACAAAAATATAAATAAATATCAAGTGCATTGTATCAGATATAATTGCAAGTCAATGTCATAGAATTCTTAATATCGAAATTCTATGTTAACTTTACCTATAAGTCTGAATTAATACACTATGAAAATTCTATTTCATTTATGTAACTTATTTGACAATCATCCTTGCAAGAGATTCTGTGATATTTGTAACATATCACAAGCAAAAATTAGAGAGTTTTAATGCTCAATTCTCTAGCTATGACAATTTCTACAGCAATTTATCATAATTTATTTATAAGTCTTTTAGTATGTATCCTGTTGACAATTGCACAGAAAAGAACTGTACACCTGAGCTCAAAAACAATTACTTCTTCCTTGATCACATCTGAGATGAAAACAAATACACAAATCAATAAATAATTCAAGTAAAAGTCCACACTGCATTGTGTTGTCACATTCAGTCAGTATGTCCCACATGTTCATTTTATCTCACATTTTCTCATACGTTCTAACATGACCACATTCACAGGAGACACTGTACATATCGGATTCCTCGTCGTATGACTCAGGGCCATACTTGTGCTCATGTGGTCCCGAGTTCACCTTAACTAAACTACTTCTGACAGCCAGTCGTAATTCTGCAATAAATAAATAAATAAATAAATAAATAAATAAATAAATAAATAAATAAATAAATAAATAAATAAATGAATGAATGAATGAATAAATGAATGAATGAATGAATGAATATTAAATGAATGAATGAATGATTTATTTTAATTGGTCACATTTTCATGGTTAGAGGAAAAAAATATTGGTTCATAGGGATAACATTTTGTGGTTGAAGACATAAACATTATATACTCTAGTTTAAAATTAAATGTCTCAAGGTGGAGTTAGATTTGTGGGCCTCTTCATACCACAAAAAACAAGGAAAAATTAAACGTCAACAAAAATTGAATTTCTCAGATAAATAAATATTGCTTATTAATAATGTTGCATTATTAATAAAAGCGGTATTCTTCTGGTGATTTACTCCTGAAGGAAGTAAAACTTTCAAAATAAACATGATTTCAGTTTTTGCAGCATCTCATTACAATTCTTTGTTTTAACACTGACCTTTGACTTTCTTGTCAAACTTTTTTCGTTTTGCTGTTTCCCTTTTTGAGGACCTCTCATCATGTGCTTTCTCTAGTCCCTCTTCTGACCCCCATACCTCCATAGCACGGTCATATACCTAATCAAGACAAGTAACTTTAGCTACGTTGAACATTTATGTACCGGTACATGTGTAAAGGGAGACAACTCCCTATTATCAATAAAAGGTGAATCAATTTATTAATAAGTTACTCAAGTATAATATGTAAAATAGTTTATTAATATCTTGCATAAATGTTATCTGAGGTTTAAAATCTAGAAAAACCAATATATATATATATATATATATATATATATATATATATATATATATATATATATATATATATATATATATATATATATATATATATATATATATATATATTTTATCACATTAATTATATGGATTTATGAAGCTTAAACCAGCAAAAAAAAAAAAAAAAATTACAGAAATTCATTCAATGAAGCTGTAAAATTTCATGAGTTGGGGGGAAATGGATCAACATGCAGACCTGAGGTTCATAGTATAGCTTCATGTCTCCCCAGCGAGGGTTCCTGGGATTTTTGCGGATGATGAATTTGAGGGGTGGATCTCGAATTTCTAGATCTGAATCTTTTAGGAGGTATCTGTCCTTGGCTTCTGTTTTTGTCACCAGAGGATGTTTCTCTGTGTCATCTCTACAATAGGATTTAATATTGGTATAATTCAAAAAGACATTCCATAAAATCAAAGTTTTATTAATTTATAAGTCATAGGGTTTCTCTATCATATATATACTGAATAATCATTTGATTCCAGATACATTGTGATAAGCTTTACACAATTTTCAAAACTTGTTTCTGTCTGGTATCTCCTGTAGTGTAATCTGCAACCAAATCTCTGGAAAAAAAAAAACTGCCAAGAGCTGACGTTTTGAAAATACTGAGCTACATATACTAATTTGTGGATGCGGTCATCTTTGAAATTCTGCTGTTGAAACTGAATGTATTTCTGCATGAAAAATACTGTGTACTGTAGACTCCTTATCTATTATCGCAAAATGGTTCTTCAACATCAAATCGCAAGAACAATAATTTGTAAGTGGATAGTTTTTACATGGAGATTTTACATGGATTTAAGCACCATAAAAATAAAAGTGAGTAATTTTTTTCAGAAGTGGTGTTTCTGGCAAAATTACGTGATTAGTTAATTTCTCACGTATATTTGGGAATCTACAGTATTGAGAAAAGTTTAATATTTCTAATCTATTCCACCGATTTGAAAGAGACTTTTTTTAATTCTACATGTATGTCATGGCTACTAACTTGCAGACATCACACACATTAGCATTGTAGGTTGTCAACAGCCAAGAGTCCATGAATTCTTTTCCGCAATCATCACAAAGCAGTGCATCAGACTCCAAAACAGGACCTATATTAATATAAGGATAAAGCTGGAATATTAAGGTTCATCTATACTCTGATAAGAGAGATAACTCTTAATGACATAAATGTCTATTATTCCTTTAAAAATTTGTCAAGTTGAAATGTCTTTTTTATTTAATTTTGCCCTGCAAGCTATGGTATAATTGTTTGTATTTTACTTGTGAAAAATATTTCTTTCAGAAAATCATAAAAATTACAGCAACAATTTATATGAATGAGCAGAGGGTTTATGAACCTTAAAACAGTCCGAGAAAAGAGGACTTACAAGGTCAACTGGAATCAAAAATGAAACAAAGCTCAAATCTAAAATATTCCCACAATATAAGGCACATATTTCCCAAACTTTGGAATTTCCAAATTTAAAAGTCTTAGTTGGATCATTTTTTTTTTTTTTTTTGGAAAATTCATGGACTACAAAACAAACTTGCATGACAAGAATACTGTGTTATTTTTCTACAGTTTTATTAATTTACTATCATAAGCCTATGAAATATCAATGAGGTGAAATAAATGAGGTAAAATTAGCTTGGAACAATAGTTCACTAATGAAAACAACCTAAGGTAGTGACTATAAATGTGAGCAAGTTGAAACAGTTTTTTGGAGGGGGGAGGGGGGTGTCAGGGTCAAACAACCTGTCCAATAAAAAAAATCAAAACTGTAATTGAAAAAAAATCCAAGAAAGTTAAAGAGAAATTACAAGTATACTAGAGTTCATACTTAACCTTGAACTCATAAAATAAATTTACTTGACCTTGACACCTTACCTAGTGGGTGTTTGACCTCTGCCTTTTTTGCCTTTTCTTCTTCTTCCTCCTCTTCTTCCAGGAAGAATCCTGCCCCAGTATCGATGGTGCGTGTCACCTTCTGTCTACAGCAGATAAGTTAAATGCTCATGTGTGTTTCTGTGTGTACAAACTCTTAAACAGTCAGACAGTATACCAAACACTAACAAGTCAATATGATAGACATTTAAAAGTAATTTGACTTTTCTGACATGTTGTATCCTAAGGTTTCAACTGTTGTATCTTGAACTCTTGGAAATTTCAAAGCTCTCTTTCATTTTCACCAAATCTGAGATACTATGTACCAGTATATCAAGTTTGTCTGATTCTTTTTCTAGCTTATAACTGATGAAAGTTTGGAATCCTTTCACTTTCAAATCATTTACAGATTTTCTCTGCATGTGTTTACTTTGACTCTGGACCTGTGTAAGGATTTTAGCTAGTCTGGACAGACTGAGAAGTAAAGCCTATTTAAGAGTGCTTACTTTGAGTCTATGGCAGTGTAAGGCTTTTTAGCTAGCCTGGACTGCCTAAGGAGTAAAGCCTTTTGACGATTTCGCTCAACTCTTGCTTTCTGTGCTGCTGAAAATTTTCTCTCTTCTTCTTCATCAGCTGTAAGCATAACAAAAAATAAAGAAAACCAGTGTTTACTAGAAGAAAGTAGCAGGATTCAAATCCCAACCCCTTGAATACTTAGACAGATGGTTTAAAAACTGAGCTGTCTGGTCATGCCCGACAGCCACACAACTAAGTAACTCAGTTCTTAGGCAAACCAACCTGCATGACTACGAAAATAGTGACACACTTGGTCCATGGTTTGAATCCTGGCCTGGTATATATGATATAATTGAGCTTTCCCCTTTTTAGCTGTAACATATGGTGGTATATACGATGGCCGATAGCAGCCATCAATTTACACTAATGTTATGTGTGTAACGTGTACTACAACATTTTCATTGAAAACTCCCTGACACGTTACACCTAAAAGTAAAAGTGTACAAAGAGGCAACACAAAGAAACGCTGATTCTGTTTTGATACTTGATACCACTTTAATTTAGATATAGAGTATACATGAAACTTTTCCTGACACTTTACACACAGAACATTGGTGTAGAGTGTGCATGGAATTTTGCAATGACACTTTACACTTTATATATTCACTTTTACTTTTAGGTGTAACGTGTCAGGAAGTTTTCAGTGAAAATATTGTACATTACATACAGTGCACAGTGTAGGCTGCTGTTGGCCATCGTAGGTACTTGAGCAATATGACTGGTGATAAACTTTTTAAGGATGATCCTTGGTTAGTGTCTTCCATATAGAAGACTGAGAAGAATCTTCATCTCAGGACGGACCCTTTTCTCATTAGAGAAATGGACAGGCATAGCCCACATAGCTACATGGACGTTATGGCTATGCTTGTCCACTTCTCTGCAAGAATAGACAGATCATTATTTTAAGAACAGACTATTCCATTGGGCAAAGACATTTGAAAGAGGAAAAATGTGATGGTCATTGCTTTGCAGAGTACACTCTTGTACATAGATTATTGCTATTTATCGACTGGGTTGTTTGATTGTTCAGTTGCTTTTTAATAAGATAAATATAAGTCAGAATCAAAGTTTTCGTGAAATTACACCTGTATTTGCTTTATCGTCAGTTTCGTCAAAAGCTGAAGAGGGTCCTGATCCTAATACATCTGACATGATTGCACATCAACACATGCAGTCATGCTATCGTACTTTCTTTTCGGGAAATGCTGCGCAATCTCGATCCCGATTTTAAATGCAAAAAAATAAGAAGAAAAATTGTAAATATCAAGTAATCTGTAACTGTACAGCAACATGTAGGCTATCTCATAAAAAAAGGGTACAAACTGGGTAACAATTTCATTAGGCCCTACTATCTACCGACATTGAGATCCGCCTCTTTTTCTTTAGCGGAAGTCGAAGACAAAAAAATGCGTTGCCCTCCTTTTAAACTTCTGCAACGGCGATTTTCATTGGATGAAAATGGGAAAACCTTTCTGACATCACGATAGTGTAAAAATAGAAAAGTTTGTATTGATATTCGGAAGGGAATCCCAGAAGAACAATCCGACAAATATCGCAATCATCGGTGGTTAAAACGAAGGTAAGATATAATATATCTATTTTACACATTCATTGTAACATCTTTCTTCCATTATTTTATGCAATCATCACTTTCTTCTCACAGAATCGTCATTTTCCCCTTGTCAAATATTTGTTGATTTTTACCAACCTATAGGTCGTCTTGTTGCCAAACAGTGGGCTGGAATTTCTCATTTTATGCCTTACCCACGTAACTATGTTTAATCATATATGTAAAAACAGATTCACAACCTTCATGAAAACGATATTTTCATCGTCTCGTGCCTTGTATGCTAAGATTTGAGGAGGACGTTAGAAAATTCTTGTGTTATGGTCTGTGGAAGGTAAAATGGACTCGCCCAAGCGGCTGTCTGCTTAAGCCTGGAACTTGCAGTGAGTTACATGTTTAAACTACCATTAGTGTAACAGTTAGACTGTGAAAAGGTATCAGTCGGTTTTATTCATCATAAAAATAATTCAATATGCCTTGATCTTTCTGTAAATTTGGTAGAATTTCAGGCAAAATCGAAATGTGTATCGGAACTCCTTGGTGTTAAGTTCCGAATGGCATGTTTTGAACTCCCCGATCTGTTTATTACAAATTTCTGCTTTTAATCTGGTTAACTTTTTCTCTTATTCATGCAGATTTTCAAATTTTGTCATTAGCTTAAGCACTGCACCATCTGTTTGTGTATTTATTACGATGGTTCGGAGGAAATTGGCAAACATGCCGAAGTCAAATTCAGCGGGAATAATGGCGACTATTTTGTGTACACTGGGATAGTCTAAGTTGCATGAAAGGGATGATAGGTTCCTATACATAAGTGCATGTCAAAGTTTGTCAGAAGTTTACTGTATATACACACTAGTTAACAAAACTATTTTTAAATTTAACTTGCACCTGACACTCACTGCATTTTTTTTTTAAATTCAGGATCAGCTCCTTTTTTCCTGCTGAAAATCTGGGCAGCTCATGAATACGGTAAAAGAAAAAAAAAACAAAACAACACCCCACACCAAAAAAAAAATAAAATTATATTTATTATATGTTACTTACTTTTCTTTTCCCGAAAATTTGCCTCTAGGCACATCTCTTTCAACATGTTCAATGAGTTTTGTTTTTGTTTAAATAAAACTCTGATGATCAAATTGTTTGATTTTCTAATAAAAAATATATTGTCAACATTTTGATTTATTGCTGTGTTAACATATTGGTCAAACATTTTACCTTGCATGTTGTGAATGTTACAGCAGCCCAGGAGAGTTCCCCAAGGGGAGTCACAGTATCCCAGAGTTATTGCCCCATCAGCTCAGCAGCGTTTTGACATACCAGTAGGAGCGGCGGAAAACTTGGCACAGATTCAGTTTCCTATGCACAGTTTCCCGTAAGTAATGGCAGTATCACCTATAATACTATATGCATTTTCAATAAAAAGAGCATTTTACACTGTTTCAGAATTTTTTTTTTATTAGATGAAAGCATAATTAAATAATTTTTTAAACAAAAAAAAATTACTCAAAGGTTTTGACAGAGAAATCAGTTATGTTTAAAAATAAATTGACTTAGTATTCATAGGACTACACAGTCACATATCCTCTATATTCTCAGGACTACACAGTCACATGTTCATTCAACCGGAATGCATCACCAGCCAAATCCAGGATTGTCAGGTCACCACGGTCCACCTACAGGTCAAGGGTCATCCCAGCCCTCCATCCAACAGGCCCACTCTCAGGGACCACCCCCACAGGTATGCTATTTTGATCTTTCCTTTCGACTTGGTTAGAGTTCCTCCTCCTCTTCAAAGGGAGATAATTGTATAAATAATGACTTTCTTGCTTTCAATAATGGTTTTCTTCAAATTGAATCCTTGTGAAAGGGTGTGTGTGCTCTGTTTCAGGTTAATTTGGTATAGGCTAAATGGTTTCTATGCATTTTTTAAGGCCTATCTAGCCTAGGTTTAAGTTCTACCTACAGTGTTTTTCACACCTATTTTCATGCTTTCCTTTTCAGGTCCATTCGGCCCTGGTTACTGTTTTTCCTGTAGTCTTTTTCAAAACCATGTGGTTTAAGCTAAAGCTCTTCCTACAATCTTTTTCAGTGGCCAGCATTGAGTAAATTACATGTTTTTTGCACTTTCTGTTTCAGGCCCATTCTGCTACCACTCAGGGTCAGCAACAGCAGCAGTTCCAGAGACTGAAGGTTGAAGATGCATTGTCGTATCTCGACCAAGTCAAGCTGCAGTTTGGCAATCAGCCTCAGGTCTACAATGATTTTCTAGACATCATGAAAGAGTTCAAGTCACAAACGTGAGTACCTATTAACATAATCATGACATCCTTAGTTAAATATACTGTCAAACCTTTTTATCTCAAACTCGTTGAGACCAAGAAAAGACTTGGAGCTATCAAGGGAAGATTCGAGATATATTGAGGGTGAAATACATCCAGGAAAATTTTTGGGACTTCCAAATGGCTTAAACATATCATGGTATTAAAGATATCAATGTTTGAGATAAAGAAGTTCAACTGTACACATTTTTTTCAGAATTGACACCCCAGGAGTTATTAATCGAGTGTCCAACTTGTTCAAAGGCCACCCTGACCTGATTGTAGGCTTTAACACGTTCCTTCCCCCAGGGTATAAGATCGAGGTCCAGGCCAATGAAATCAGCGTTCACCAGCCAGGCCAGCAGACACTGTGTATCCCAACAAATACCCCAATCATGCTGCCATCAGCCACAGTAAGACTAAAAATAGAACTACATGTATCTGTAGAAAACCTCTCAGAAATTTACAAGTTCTAAAGTCTCGTTTTTCAGAAAAGACACAACACTTTGAGATACAGTGTTGAGATACAGTGTATGAATTCCTGACATAATGTCCAGGCCAGTCAGTAAGTTAGAAGTCTCTATCTAGTGGTTTGAGACTAGAATAACTTACATTGTACACCGGAATTTATGAATGAAAAGTGGTAGATATATGTATATTATTTTCCAGTATTCCAAGTATCTTATACACTTGAGAAACTTCATTTGTTAGCAATTGAAAAAAATATCAGAAATGGAAAAATGATCTATTGCATATAAGTTATTAGGTGTATAAATAATTTACACAAATTGTTAATGTAAATTTACTGTATTGTTTTTAGCCCATGCCAGGACATAAATTAGACATGTTCTCCATGCCCCAGAAGACAACCCCTCCCCCAGCCCACATGCCGAGTACTCCCACCCACGGGTCGTCCCACCACTCCTACCATCAGTCGCCTCACCGCGGGGGATCGGAGCAGATGGGGTCCACCAATCAGAGCCATCAACCCCAGCCTCAGCAGCCTCAGGCCGGGCAGCCTGTAGAATTCAATCACGCTATCAACTATGTCAACAAAATCAAGGTAAAAGACAGAATGATCACGTGTATTATTCAATAAGAAATGGAATGAATTATAGGCTCTTGTACATGTTAGCATTTGTGGCTTTTTTTTTTACTCTTTCAAAGTGAGTTCAGTGTCCAAGGAAAGTGGGAATTTTGATGTGTAAAATGTTCAGATTTTGTTTTTTTAAAAGTTTTTCTAGCTTGAAACTTAATTGTGGAAAAAAGGAAATATTTGGGAAATATAACTGCATTTCATTTTGAGGAATGGATCATGTAACCAGACCCAAAGTGGCATAAAATTATTTTTGTTTGAAACTAAAGTTAGACAGTTCAATCTAGCTACCAAATATTGCTGTTAATCTATGGAACCATTATTAACAGTAATGTCCGTGTGTTTAGATTTTTGGTAATGTCTTTTTTACAGAATCGTTTCCAAGGCCAACCAGAGATCTATAAAGCGTTCCTGGAGATTCTACACACCTATCAGAAGGAACAACGGAACCTTAAAGAAGTATGTATCAGTGAATTGTGTATTTACAGCAGTCATTAATATAACTGTATTAATCATCATTTTGAGTGATCTCCCTTTTGTTATGTTTCTTTAGGGAATTGTCTCCCCTGGCTGTAAGCCCCTGACCGAGGCTGAGGTGTACTCACAGGTGGCCAAACTGTTCCAGAACCAGGAGGATCTACTGGCCGAGTTTGGTCAATTCCTGCCAGATGCCAATGGATCATCTTACGGAGGATATGTAAGTATTAAGGAAGATATGACATCTTAAAGGGGAAATGAGGTTTTTAGGGAGAGGTCTAATATAGACTGAGCCTGCTGCCCAATCCCTTTAATTTCTGTGAATAAAATATTGTTTAAATTAAATTTAAGTTCTTGGAAGTTTGAACACCTTAGGGGGGGTCATTATATGACAGACAAGTACTGGGGAGACGTGACGTGGAGATGTAACTACCGAGATTTGCATTTGTACAGGGTAGATTGCAGTGATTTTTCTACATTTTTTAAAAGGGGCCTGGGCCTTTACAATTGGGAAAAATCATCGACATTTGTGTAAAATTGGGAAAAATCAATAAGATTGAAATGATCCTTAAGGATACACCAAAGGTTTTTTTCAAGATTTTCAACAATTTTGAGATTTTTGGCCAAGAAAAAGAAGTTAATCACTGCTTTATAATGCATGTAAAATTCTTGGTAATTATGAAATAGTTTTCTAATTATTTAACAATAATGAAACATGAACACTACCACATGTGAATGTTCCGTTATTGAAGCTTCTGATTTGATCTGGGACTGCCTGCCTATGAAAGACGCAATAAATCACTGTGACCACTTGGGGAATTCTTCACTAGCCACACAGAGGTTATCAGTAATTAAACTACAGGGACTCTAGATTTAGAGAAAGAGATCTAACTGATCACTGATGACCATAAAATAGGAGGTGGAGCTTAGCTCTTGCCATTTTGCCGGGAAATCTTTCTGATTCAGAATTGAACCTATTTTACTTAATTAAGGAGGTTGGATCCTGACATCAAAAGTAATGAGATGTTTTTATCAAGTATATTTTTAGAATTTATACACATAGCGTAATTAAAAATCAAAACAAAAAATTGGGGTCAATGCGCTTCTTTTGGCGCTACAGAGCATTTAGTTTGACCTTTTTGCACTGTAAAAACGTCTTTACATAAATCAATTTTTTAAAGTTTTTCCCCCGATATTTTTTATTCAAATAAGTTATGGGAACAAACACAGTGTTATGTCATCTTGAATAGACCCATTAAAATTTTTGACAACGAAAAATTTTTTTTAATTACTCCGCACGTTCAATTATTTGACCTTTTTGCACTAAAAAAAATTCATTTTGCTAGCATTACAAATTTAACGAGCAAAAAGCTCATTTAAAAGTAATGACATTTTACTGAATTTAAGAAGAATTGTTAAAAGTATCTTGTATATTCAGAAAAGAAAGTTAAAAGTGGGGGTCTGTGGTGTTAATTTTTAGATATTACTAAAATAGTGCTAATTTTGAGCTTAAATTAGGGCTATTTTTTTTCTTGATTTTCACAATATATTTGATTTATTTATCAAATATGATGATTGAATTCATGACAGTTTATTAAATATATAATTTAGGACGAGTATAAAACAGTTTACAGCACAAAATAATTCTGTGTGCAGACTGCTTGTAAAAATAGGAATCCAAACTTAACATACTTTAAGTACTTCGAAATAGAAAAATGATCATTTTCTTCTAAAAAACCTTCCGCCACAAAATATAGTTCCTCACTTAATGCTTTTGGTATGGAATTTCATCATGGAGTTTTAACTAAATATAGTTTATTTGGCATTGTAGAATCCAAATTTATTGTAAGAATTAAAACATTACGCAGATTTTTTTAAATATAGGTTAAAATAAAAATCTGCTCAAAAGCTCAGGAGCGAGCCTCGTTAAAAGCATCTAAATACAGAAAAGAACCTCCCATTCTTGTGAACATGCATAGGAAATATGGCTAAGTGACAGGTATCCAAAGCTGAATCTCCAAGGTGTCATATATTCCTAGCTTTGGCAGATTTTGTTGTGTAATGGGTTTTTGCCCTCTACTGTAAAGTAAGATCAGACAGTTTGTGATATTATTTCAGAGGATTCAGCTCCCTTATTTATTGACCAAATTCTCTGAAAATTGGATGAGTTGCTTCTCAAATGTGTGTTTACAAAACCGTGTCTCAGATTTTTGATATCTACCTTAGTTTTGGAATTATTGAAGGAAATGTTAAATTAGGCTAATAAATTGGTAACATTGAAGGGCAAATGGCTGTAACTTTTGAATTAGAAGATTTATCAAAAATCTGAGATACAGTTTTTAAGTTCAATCTTTAATCTACCTTGAGGTAAAATGACCACTTTGAGGGGTTAAATACAAAAAAGTTGATTTATAAAATATTTATGCACTAAAATTTACATTAATATTTAAATAATTTTTAAATAAGTTATTAATTAAAGTTTAAATTAGGATAATTAAATAGTAAATTTAACAAGCTTTCAAATGATATATACTTTTATTATGTTATCTTTGATGATGAAAGAATTACATGCAAATTAAATTCTGGCATATCGAAACCTTTGGTGTATCCTTAATTGACAGGTAAAATAAAATATAAATATGTAAGTAAATGTAACATCATTTATTCAAAACATTTACTACAAAATAACAAATTAGACACAGTTCTACATTTTCAACTTTTTTTTTAATCTTTGAAAGTTGTCATTAGTCGTGACCGTCCTATATTCCTTTTTTTTTTTTTTTTTTTTTTTTTTTTTTTTTTTGCCATAATGGTAGACATAAGAAAAAATCCTACTCATAATAGCCATTGAAGATGATATAATCTGACATGATTTAAAACAAATCATTTTTCTTCTAGCTTTCTAAATCACCCTAATCATTGTCACAGTGCTGCAATTACCCTGCAATATTAGTTGCATCTGCCGGGTGTAGAAACAGTTTGATTTTCATGGAATCAGGGATGCTTGTTGTAGAACTACTAGTACTTGGATTTACAAATAAAGCTATGTTTCGCCTGTTCACATGCATCTTACACTTTCTTACGATGTATTTAGTTTGACGTTTGACATGATCAATGTGTTTTTCTATGTCTTGTAAACGCACAAAATGATCTGCTGTATTTCACTATTATTTTAAGAGTATGAATGACGGAGAGCAATAGCGTTCCAATTTAGATAAGTCGTACATAAAAAATTTAATGTAACAAAATCAATAACGGTTTTTCTGGGGGGAAAAAGCAACTGAAATTGGGAAAAAATCGGTAATTTTTGATAGGGGAAAGGGCCGATATTCGGACCTAAATTGGGTGTAGAAAAATCACTGGATTGTGTGGAAAATCTTTATAGAGTAAAACCTTGATAACTGAATTTACTTTTGTCTGCATCCATTGAAGAATACAAATGGTCAGTCTCTGTACTATAATACTAGATACTGTTATTACTGAACATACATATTACCCATCTAAGTCAATTTTAGCACATGCCTGAATGTTAAACTCAGATGATTGAAATTCATCTCACACATTTTACCTGGTTTAATATTTTGAAGACTTTTTGTTTTACAGCTAAACATGTTACAGACTGACAGCTCATCCCTGGGGGTCAGAAATGACCATTCCTCCACTGTCAAAAAACCCTCCCTAGGCAACAAAAGTCAGATGGGGAAGAGCGGAAATCAACACAGAAGACCCTCTGGTGGGCCACAACCTCCACAGAAGGTTAGTATTGTCAGATAGTCTAATTCACAAGGTCTGAAACCACCCCTACAGAGAGTTGGTGTTAGAGAGCCATAGAAAGGTAGTTTTGTTGGAAAGTTGATGAGCAAAGTCTGAAGACAAGGATTGAATGAATTAAATACTTCTCAGGGAAGGAGGGGAGAGAGAGCAGAACCCCCACATATGTGGAATGCTAGAGAGTCAATTGAGGAACAGGAGCTGAACTCAAGTATAGTTCAGATTAGATACAGTTGAACCCTATTCTTGAAAAACTTTGAGATATGAATGTTTGAGATAATGAAGTTGAAACTCAAATGAAATGGGGTCAATGCCCCTTCCCTGATATTCCACATATTGATTTTAATTTTAACTTGTCATACCTGGAGAGAAATATCATAGCCAGTTAACATGGACAGAAGAGAGGTCTGTGTATAAATGTAAAGTTAAGATTAAATACATTCCAAAGTTAACATGCAAAAAAAATTTTATTGACAATTTGATGTTTCAGATTGGAATTTTTATGAGGCTGCATTGTTTTCATTTGAGCAAGAGGATTTGAGGACCAATATGATACCTTATTTGATACAAGTCTTTATTGTTGAATTTTTTTTTTCAGAAACAGAGAACGGGTACCTTAAAAGACATCTCACTTGCTGAGGCCGGAAGATATGGAACATTGAATGAGTTTGCCTTCTTTGACAAAGTGAGTGATATGTAAAAATCAGAGCCATGTTTTTAAGTTTTCAAAAGAATTTTTTATTTTAGATTTATGAGAAAATCAAACTAAGAAACTTTTGTAGCTTTTTTTTTAATGGAGGGGGATATTTTGAATATTATCTGGGGAAAAATGTACATACTTACCAATAAAAACTTTTAGTAAGATTATTTAAAAAAAAAAAAAAAAAAAAAGAGATGTATTTCCTTCATGCATGTATAAAAGTTTTTGCGAAAATTAAGTTAAAAGAAAAAGAACAAAATGAATGGTATTGTTAATGCATTTACTATTAGATCATTTAGATATTTAATTAAAGGGTCAAACTTTCTGAAATTCTTACAATTTTTTCAAAGGACTTTAGAAGAAAAAATGCAAGTTTTTTTTTCATACTAATTTTACGATGTATGTTTCAGGTGAGGAAGTTCCTGAAACACCCTGAGGTTTACGAGAATTTCTTGCGATGTCTGGTTCTATTTAACCAGGAAGTGATTTCAAGAACCGAACTGGTTCAGCTTGTCCAGACTTTTTTACAGTGAGTTCCTGGTTCCAGTTTTATATTCTGATTCATGCATACAATGTATATACAGTATACCTAGGAATTTTTTAAAATGAAATCATGATATTCATGTTAATAGTCCATTATCTTTGTTTTAACTGAAATTATAGAAGTAGAATTCTTTTATACAATATTACTAGAAAAAAAATCTTTACACTTAAATGTTTTTATGCAGAAAACAAGCTTTAAAAAACTGTTATTTCTTTTACACGTAGTTCTAGAGGAAAGTAGTTTGTAAAAGCAGTTATTTATGATCATCTTTCTTTGGAAAAAAAAAAATCATTTCCATGCCTTATTTGTTAAACACACTGTTTTTGTTATGCAGGAGATCCCCAGAGTTGTACAAGTGGTTCAAGGATTTCCTAGGATACAAGGAGTCAGGTGGTACCACTGAGGCGGTACCTCAAGGTGCCCTTGGGAAGGAGAGGGTCAGCGGGGAGCTTGCAATGGAAATAGGTCAGTATTTGTGGCAGTGTTATCCTCAAATTAAAATGAACTGTACTGTTATTATTGCCATGTAGGTCAGTGTTTCTGTTGGTGATATTACTCTCAGTATTGAAATAGCTACTCTGTTGATGCTAATAGATATGTACATTATATAAAGCCAAAACTGTTACACATAAAGTTTCTTATCTATGTTATATAAACACAATAAGGTACATGGTTATGAGTAATATGAATTTCAACTTTACCTTGATTTATATTTGTAAGAAAATAAATAGGTTTTTTTCTTTTTGGTCTTGCTGTTTGATGGATTTTTTTCTGAACTTTATATAAAAGTCGTGAAATAAATGTTAGTCCCTACATATTTGTATGAAAACAAGACTTTTTAGTTTCAGCGTCATTTTCAATACTGGCAAGTAATTTTTTTACTGTACAGAAGTTTGTTATTATAATGGTATCCCCACTGTTTCAGACTATGCCACATGTAAGAGATACGGAGCCAGCTATAGAGCACTGCCCAAGTCCTACCCTCAGCCTAAGTGTTCAGGACGAACCCCGCTGTGTAGAGAGGTAACTAACAGTTGTCCTTGATATTCTGAGATTTGGAAATCAGTGTTGGGAATGAAATTAAAATATTGTGGTTCTGTTTTAACACACAAAGTTCTAGAAATATTGCATACTTGCAAAAATTACTTATTTTCTGTAATATAATATGTGTATTTTAATATTATCTGTTTTACTTCCCCCCACCCTATCTCTTGCACATGTAGTTTCATAATGTAAAATGTCACTGACATTACATAAGCTTTGTTTACATTTGAAGGTATTGAATGACACCTGGGTCTCTTTCCCCTCCTGGTCGGAGGATTCCACGTTTGTCACATCACGGAAAACGCAGTATGAGGAACACATATACCGCTGTGAGGATGAAAGGTTTGAGGTAGGTTTTGAGCTGCTTTAAGGTTCAGTTAACCATTTAAGCCGGTCCTTTGGATGAGATCCATATCCTTCAAACCAAGGTCCCATGTTGCAGTAGATGTTAACAAAAAAAGTCCCTCACTGCTCAGTGACCATACACCTAAGTGCCGAGTATAGGATACATTTGCAGCCTTCCGCTGGCAACAAGAAGACTAAAAAAGTACTCCAATGAAAAAAAAGCAGACAGGTCATGTGAAAAATGTTGCTTTTTGGCTCTTAAATTGTCCACTTCTCTAAAGGATTCCTCATTAATAGTCAGTTTGAAATTGAAAATAATGTAAATGAATATTGACTCTGAAATAACATCTATTTCAGCTTGATGTTGTCGTAGAGACAAATCTGGCCACTATCCGTTGCCTGGAAGCGGTACAAAAGAAAATGAGTCGAATGAGCTCAGAGGAAGCAGCTAAATTCCGATTGGACAACTCCCTGGGCGGGTCATCTGATGTTCTTCAAAGGAAATCCATACAGAGGTTAGGGAGGAGTGACTGTTTGTGTGGAAGGGGGTGGGGGATTTTTAAGCTCTCAAATTTCCGAAAATTTATCTCATTCCAAAGGTAACACGTGTATATTTTTGTACACTGAGTAGATTTGTAGGAATAAGAAATTTTGAAGGATAAATTTCTGACCTGTACAAATTTAAAGATTTGTAGTGTAGCACATTGTGGAGAAACTGCACAATTTAGCAACTGCAATGTTTAATTTTATAATATGCAATAAAGTTTTCAATGAATTTAATGGGATTAGAATATGTTTAATATTGTAGTAAAATAAATAGAAGAGGAACTTTTTGTTTGATGGTTAATTATTGTGATAATGTAAGAGAGAGAGAGAGAGAGAGAGTTCACGAAAGAGAGAGCAGATACCTTAAAACAGTGTACAGTTCTTAAAATAAGGATTTTGGGATCTACATGTACAAGGGTATTCATAACAGTCATGTTAAATGAACATGTGTATATTGTAGAATCTATGGTGACAAAGCTCCAGATATTATTGATGGTCTGAAGAAGAACCCTGTTGTAGCCGTACCACTAGTGCTGAGGAGGTAAGTAAAGACGGAAGAGGCTGTCACCTATTATATATTTTTATTCAAGGCCATCAATCTCGTCTGATTTGGGTCTGATAAACAGACCCTTCCTAATTGGGAAACCCCCCCAAAATTCCCAGTTAACTTATTTAGAAATTCCCAATATCAGAAATTGTTAATTGTGTTCATATGAAAAATTAAATCCTGTTAGTTTAAAACCTAATTGATCTTACTCTGTTGTTTTTGTCTTTACCTTAGAACAATCAATTCATGTTTTAATGGTTTTATAAAATTATATTGTATAAAAGTGAAAATTTCCAATTTGACCCAAAACATCGATAATTTTGCCAATCTGGTGAGACCCAGACCATGGACCAAAAAAGGGCATTGACAGCCCCGTTATTCAAAATTTTAGACGCAAAATATTTTATAAATGAAGGAGGGAGATCACGTTCTATGCATCTCCTTGTGTAACCAGCAGCAAACCAGACTAATGTCGATATCTTTGTTGGGAACCTGCCAATTTGAACCAATTAAGACACAGCTTGTCAGAAATTAATTCACAGCTTGTCAGGAAAAAAAGACAACAGAGTACCTGTATTACATTGAATTCTATACTTATAATATGTTATAAAACAATTTATGTTTGAAATTTTAGGTTGAAGGCCAAAGAGGAAGAATGGCGTGAAGCCCAGAGGAACTTCAACAAGATTTGGAGAGAGCAGAATGAGAAATATTATCTCAAGTCACTGGACCATCAGGGGATTAACTTCAAACAGAATGATGTCAAGGCCATCCGATCTAAAGGACTGCTCAATGAGATAGAGACTATATATGATGAGGTGGGTCAAAGGTTGTATTGAGGTGAAAGGTCAAAGTTAGGATAACCTGAATCTGCTCTGTATTGATTTTGGTAATGGACAATTGCAAACTTGTGATTATGAAATAGGTTTGAGACTTTGTCATTGTGTCTTAATTTATATCCATAGAAGATGCAGACGGACAAGTTTTGTCAGAAATGGTATTTGTTCATGTGCACTGTAATACTAGAATTGAGGAAGAAAACTCTAGGTTCTTTGATAATTAAAGATTTCTGATAAAAGTCTCCTTTTAAGATTTCTCTGTCCTTAGATTAATTTTCTTTAGTCATTTGAGAAAGAAAATTAAGTTTCATAATGATTAATTATTGATTGATCCATCCTCCCCACCCTCCAAAAATATTTATTCATTTTGTAAGGTCCAGTTATTTCAATGCTACACTTTTCATAGATTTAACCTGCACACCAATCTGGAAAGAAATATAGTAATTAGTAACAAATTGTATTAACAATATTTGTTCAATATTTTGTATAACAGCGGTCAGAACAGGAAACAGAGAGTGCTGAAGCATTTAACCCCCATCTGAGTTATGTGTATAAGGACCGATCTGTCATTGAGGATGCGGCCTCCCTCATTCTACATCACATGAAGAGACAAGCTGGTCAGTTACATGTATTATATTACAATTACATTATTTAGCTTGACTATTTTTTATTTTGTAAATTACATAAACAAAAGCTGAAAAAATAAGATTACTTGTCATATATCAAGTAAATCTCTAAGAAAAGTGAGATATCAAAACTTTTTCCAGAGAAGAGAGAGAAAAAAAGATTTTACATATTAAAAGTTCATTTGAAAGTGTTATTCCAACAATGTTTTGAGAGAGGAGATCTAGAAAATTTTGCTGATTTTTATGAGCTTGAGAGCAATTGATATAAAATACATGTAGTGATATTAAAATAAATCAATATTTTTAAATTGTAGGAATTCACAAAGATGACAAACACAAGATCAAGCTGTTGTTACGTCAGCTGATACCAGATCTGTTCTTCATGCCGCGACAGGAAATGAGTGACGACGAGGAAGAAGGTACAGGGAGATAACTCTTAGTCATTCTGAAAGTATCCACTAGATACACAGTTAATTGTTGTTAGTGCTTCTCAATGCATTTATCTCAAATATTTACAATAGGCATGTATGTAGAAATGAAAAATCAACTTTTTTGGTAAAATTTCAGTATTTAAATTTCTCAGAATCATAATCTACTTATTACTTATAATTATTAGTATTAATTTTCTTTGGGTATAAATATGAACATTTAACTATTTTATTACCAGTTTTTAATGAAATTTTCAGCAAACTTTACCAATGGAGTGTACATGTTATATTGTAGATGACATGGATGTTGATGATGCAGACAAGGAAATGCCAAAAGCAGAGGAAAAGAAAGAATCGGAAAAGGACAAATCTTCAAGTTCAGGGAAAAACGGAAAGGAGAGTGAGGAAGTGAAGATCAAGGAGGAAAAGTTGGACCCCGAGATTAAGATGGAGGAGGGGGATGAGAGTAAGTCTGCTGACTCGGCTGTTGTCAATGGCGACCAGGAGGAAAACACTAACGATGATGATATGGAGGATGTAAGAGTATATGATTTTTTAGAAAAATTTAAAATTAATTAATTTACATGTATAAACATGTATAAGAATGTTTTCTTTTGTAAGATTTTACTGTTCAATTTCTGTAATGTTATAGTTTGTGTTTAAACAGTTTCTGTTCTGATTAATACAAATACACATAGTTGCAACTTTTTTCTTAAACCTGACTTTGTTGTAAATTTGCAGGATGACATCTATTCCCTGTTCTTTGTCAACAATAACTGGTATCTGTTTTTCCGCTTACACCAAATTCTGTGTGAACGCCTGTACAAGATATACACATATTCTGTTAAAATCGCAGCTGAGGAGGCGCAGTGTCGAAAAGACCGAAAGGAATCCACTGCAGTAGCCCTCAGACTCAAAGCCCCAAGTAAGAAAAATTAAAGGGACATTGTAAAATGAAGTTGTTATACATTTTGTCTGTTATTAATGCATGCACAGTCAAACCTTTCTACCTAGAACAAAATGAAACTGTCAGAAATTTGAGATATTGAAGGGTTAGAGATTTGAAGGTTGAAATTTGAATTAGTTATGAAATCAGGATATTTGATTCACTTGACAATATTGGTGATATTGGACATGGTGGTGGTCCAGGTGTCAAAGATCAATAATATATTGCTATTAAGGTGGAATGATCCTTAGCAAAGATAGAGATAGCCCTAAGAATTAATAAATCACTGCTTCCTTTAAAAGTATTTTATTTTCAGCAGTGATGTGTTCCAAATTCTGCCCCGTATGGTATACAAAATATGCTTGATTACAGAGCTCCGAGTTTGCGACCAAAAAATTAATTTGGGGACTACAAATTAAAACTGACTCGCATTTTTGCGACCAAGAAAATTTGACCTGGCGAGTTTTCATTTCTATAATCAGAAATAAGATTTATTTTTTTCTAAGATTCTATATCAAGAAAATGACATTATACATGTACATACATTTATATGAGTGTTTGTTCCTTGCTGTTATAATATATTAAATGCTTTATTCACAAAATGTTTTCACCATGGCGAGTGAAAAATTTGTGGATGGCAACCAGAAAATCTGAAATGGTGACCAAAAATTTTTTTAGGTCACCATTTATCGCCCTAATAGTATGTGTGACTTGGAGCACTGTTGAATTTCAGTTTTATATCAAACTTTTTCAAAAATTGTTATACTTATAGAAAATTCCTAGTTAGTTTAGCAAAAGGTTGTCCACACTTTTCATGAAACCCTTTTACAATAATATACATGAATTTACAATTATGACATCATTTATAAAGCCTTTAGTCTTCCTCTTATTGCATTGAATGTATTAATTTGCAATGGTTGCCAAGACAATTGTTTTGATTTTTGCTATGGTTACAGGTGAGATTGAGCCTGAGGAGTACTATCCTTACTTCCTGGAGATGGTGAAGAGTTTGCTTGATGGGAATCTGGAATCCACACAGTATGAGGACCAGCTAAGAGAGATGTACGGTATCCATGCTTACATTGCCTTCACCATGGAGAAGTTGGTACAGAACCTTGTCAGACAGGTGAGGAAATGATGGTTTTAATTTGGAAACCTGAGTCTGTATTCTTGTATAATTTACTTTTTTTGTTGTTTATTAGTCATTTCCATGAACAGCTTGATCAAACAAATTTTTCTCCTACAAGAATTAAAGTTTGAACACTTAGAAATGACTCATAAAAAAATGAAAGATTAAGTGTTTTTTTGTGAGTCATTTCTATCATGTATAAGCCCATCTAAAGACTATGTTATGGCATTCATGTCCATCTGTCCTTCTGTCTGTTGACTTTTTCGTATCCGGCTCACAACTTAAATACTATTAGGCATTATCAAATATTGTCAGCTGCACCACAGGAGATGTATGTGCATCAAACATTATAAGGAATGGAAAAATCTTTGAAATCTTTGTGTCAAGGTTGACATGATTTTCTAGAGTGATATGCACTCTAAACTTTTTATAATAATTAAACAGTATTTGATGGGCATATCACGCTGTAGTGGGGCACTTTATTTCAAATAAAATAACATAAATCAAAAGAATTCCAGTAGTCGAAAATAAATGTATTTACTTGCTTTACTAAGATAGGATTGTTGAATAATAGTATCACTGTTTGTTTTTGTAGATGCAGCATATTGTCCAGGATGAGGTTTGTGTTAAGATCACTGCACTGTTCCAGGAGGAACGCAAGAACAATGCCACAGGTGGACGGGTAGCCACTGTCCACCAGCGGTCAGCCAAGGAGAGCGCCTACCAGAAGAAAGCCGAACAGTGTCTCAGCGAGGAAAACTGCTTCAAAGTTGTCATTGTAAGTAAGAGGGAAGGGGAAAACGAGCATTTCAACATAGATCTAAATACCGTTGGTTTTGAAAATCTGCAAGAGCATGGAATGGACATATTTTAGGTTGTATTTCAGGGATGTCTACTTGTTTGATTTAGGATTGCAATGTTTAGGCAAAGTTTCTACTAATAAGCAAGACAAATAACCTCCACTCATAATCTGTATGTTTATAGTATTTTAAAATCTTTATTATTTTCAACAGTTCAAGAAAGAGTGTAAGTTGACCTTTGAACTCCTGGACACTGATCACGAGCAGTCTGATGATCCAATAGAAGTAGAGCGTTGGTCTGAGTATGTAGAGAAATATGTCTCCAAGGACGACACAGTGTCGGAAGACCTGAAGGAACACCTTAATCGCAAACCTGTTTTCCTTCCCAGGTAATTTGTATTCTTATCTTAAGGTCATATTTTTCAAAAGAGTTAAGGTTACTGAGCAAGAAAATTTTTTAAATTGTGTCTGCAACATTGTTACTGTGGATTAGAATGGACTCAGACAAGGTTGTTGATGATGACTTCAAAGTTGGATTCAGATGTAAATATGGAGGTCATTATGACTGGAAGGTGTAAAATGATCTAGTTTGTCTTGTCCAGGCGATTTGTCTTGTTACCCAGTTAGTACATATATGTAACACTGATATTTTTATTCATTGAAGAGGCAAGTGGGAGTTAAGATTGATGAAACCTGCTCAGTTATTTCCATTTCAAAACTATCAGCTCTGTTAAATGGCACATTTGTTGGGGTCTAGCTTTTATATAACCTGAGAACTATGTATTGGACACATACATGTAGGATCTTTAATATCTTAAATTGTCTGCTATAGGAATGTGAGACAGTGGCGACTTCACCAGAAGAATCAGAAATCTCGGTCGGACACAGAGACGGAGGAAATCCCCGGGTCACCCAAGCAGTCTACGGAGGACATGGATATTCTGGACAATACAGAGTGTAAATTTAACGTCAACTCATTCAAAATAGTGTACGTCGTCAACAGCGAGTACTATTTGTACAAACGTACAGCACTCACCAAGGCAAGGGAGGTAAGTGTACAAAAGTAATGAACCGTTTTAAAATTCTATATTGTTTGTCAGCCCTTACAGTTAGTAAGCTATTCTGATACAAGTTGGCATCATTCTGTCTGTCTGTATTTTTCTCTCCTAAAATTGTAGTTGTAATTGACCTCTAATGATAATTGACATCATTTTGTAATAACCATAATATACAAAATATTTTGATAACTTTATATCACACATTTTCAGTTACTATATGTTTTTCAAAGATTTAATTTTTGATCATTACAGTCACACAAGAGAGTGTCCCTAAAGCTCCATGACAAATTCACCATGTGGATAAATCGCTGGCGGGAGGAAAATCTGACGGAGAATCAAAAGACGGCTTGTGAGGATTGGCTGATGGGACATACTGAGGATCTGGTGGCGTGTACCACCACGAAGGAATCTTGCGGTACCGAAGATGCCACACCCTACTTCACCTTTAACAAATACAAGGTGGAGTATGAATACGAGACCAAAAGTGAGGCAGGGGAACCAGCTGAGCCAGTTAAAGAGGCCACTAATTAAGGAGGTTACTAATGAATCTATCGATAACAACCGAAATTTCAGCAAGTACTTGCTTAATATTATCTAAAGTTAACTATAAGAGAAAACGGGACTGATGCATTTAAAGAAAGTAGATTGGATGCATTTAAACAAATCTCTTTTTACAGACATTGTATGATGTATTTAAAGGGGTAATGCATTCAACCAATCGTCATTATTTACATAGGTTGACACTTTCAAACAATGATGAATTTCATTTCTTAAAGGTTGCATGTCATTTGATCATGGGAATTTTTATAATTAATTTACACAACCCTGTACATTTCATGACAACATGCAGGAATAAAAATTGCAGTCTGATTGATTATATGTAAATGTACCAAAAACAAGAGATTTAATATATGATCTTAAAAATGAAGTTGTAAATAAGATTTTCAGTGTATATATTTCTGTGTTAAATGGAAGAATCCTGTAGGTATATGTAATTTTTTTAATTCAGGAATGTAAATTGATTACTTAGAGAAATACCTAATCACTTAGTAAAGTTTGTTTGTAATTGTGATCATAAGAGGACTGAGTTATACATCATGTTTGTTGTATATTTTTATTACGCTACATCTATGAGGCCATCTATCATATACTCCATGTTTTCGGGTTTAAGTTAAAAATATCTAAATCTCTTAAAATGCATGCAGTCTGTATATTGTTACATCATCTGTTACAGTGACACAGCATTACAAATTTGATTACATTTAATAATGTAACATTTTATATTATTAAGTCAGCATTTCCTCTGACTTTGCATATTGCATAGACACATTGTATATTTATTCATGTTACATGTGTGTGATCATATTTTGAGAAGATTCGCTATATGCAGAATCAAAATTTTGTTTCTGCCCACATATTTACGAGGTATGTATAAAGCATTAAATCAGAGCCCTATTCACGACTGCAAAAAATGTATAATTCATCTTTTAAAATTCAAAACAGGTAAAATTTTTCTCCATAAAGGTGTGCTTATATGATCCGCAAATTTTTATTTTCACTGTTAATTATTTTTAATCATTTTTCACATGGTTTCTGTAAAGTTAAATCTTCAATTTGTGAATAGAGACTGCATGACAATTACGTTATTACATGTAATGCCTGGGACTGTAATTGTTTGACTGGGATATGACATATACCTCTTATTATTGTAAAATAATTTCTTGTAAATAGTCATAAACCTCAGAATTGCAATGTAGATTATAAGAAATGCAACTTGTAAGTCTGTAGTATTACATTTTTATTACATATTGCAATGTAATAATGTGTCATTGAATTTTCCATACTGGTCAAACAGATTGTAAAAGGTTAATATTATTATATATTACAATTATTGTTAATTACATTGTAATACTTTTGTACATGAATTTCTCTTTTGGTCAAACTGATGCTGCCTTCTCATCTACCTTAACGTGGTCATCTACATTCACTTTGTTTGTCATCTACTTTCACTTTGTGTATGTTTAGTGTAGAAAAAGTGTATTAAAAGTAATAAGTCCAAATAGTTGTCTTTTGTACTTTCATTTTAAGCCATTCTTCTGAAAATAGCTTAGTGTTATTTCAGGTATGTTCCCAAAACGAAGTTTTTGAATATATTGTTTTTACTTTATTTTTTAAAATTTCCTCTTCAGTACTTTTTTGTCCACAAGTGTTCTCGGAAACTACTCATCCAATTAACATGGAACCTTTTAGGGTTAACAGGCATGCGGAACAAAGGTCATTTTGTGCGCACATGATGGCTGGTATAATTGAAACAGCATTTACTTTCCTATTTTTTACGACATGCTTTGAACGTCAGTATATGAACTTAAATTAGTGGTGTAATCGAGGTGATGTAAGGAAATTAGCAAAAGCAGTACGATCTTGCACGTGTGCTTCACTCGGATTGGCTGAGACAAAAATCTCAATAAATTCCTTGTTTTTTGACGAAATACAACGGAATTTGAAGTATGTGCATATATTGTAAAGTTCTACAAAATTATGTAGGAGAATTCTTGTAAATATGGGCATGCAATTTCAATTGATTGGTTGAAACTTAAATGGCTATAACTTTCTTAGTTAAAAAAAAACAGGACGAAATTTAGAATGTAGATCTTTAAGTATAGTGCATCCTTACATTATGCTATTATCAAACCTGAATGCAAAGACGTGCATGCATTCTGTGCTGTATTCTGATTAGCTAATACTTATGTCTCGCTTATTTTTCAATGAAAGTCTTTGATATTTTTAACGTATGTAAATATTGTGAGATACTAAAAGAAAATGTATGTTGTTTGTTTGTATGTTGTTTAACGTCCCTCTCGAGAATTTTTCACTCATATGGAGACGCATCGCTTGTGGAGAGCTGCAAATTTTGTCCTATACTCGGCACTTACGGCCATTGAGCAGTGAGGGATCTTTTTCGTGCCAGCACCTATTGCGACACGGGACCTCGGTTTATAAATACGGTCTCATCCGAAGGACCGGTCTCCACGTCCCACACTGGGATTCGAACCCGCGACGTAAGGATCAGCTCCTTACTCAGCGACTCTAGAGCAGACGCTCTAACCACTGCGCCACGCGGGCGACAAAATGTATGTTGAAAAATCTAGAAAAGATATGCAAGCACATGCACTGAAATTTGATTGGCTAATACCTGTGCAGCTATATTGGAGTAGTTATCCAATAAAATAGTCTAGAAAATAAAGTGTGAATCTATAATACAAAAGTATTGCCTAATTTTAATTAAGCTTGGGAATGTGACACCATAAGGGAGTGGGGGAGCTGTTTAGGGAATATCTTGTCCATAGAGGGACTTTTATACATACCTGGTCTATATACTGGCAGACAATACCAGACTAAGAATGAAAACTTTTGTGGCAGTAAATTTGTAACACAGACAATGTATAACTGATTTGTCACTGAGATGTATTGTGACGTTAAAATCGTGTCCCTTGGTTTTAAGCCACTGACAGAGGTTGAAGTCTACTCTCAGGTGGCCAAGCTGTTCCAGAACCAGGAGGATGATCTGGAAGAGTTTGGTCAATTCCTGCCAGACGCCAATGGGTCATCTTTTGGAGGATATGTAAATACTGCAAAAATATGATATCTTGGAGGGGAAAGCAAGTTGATGGAGAAGGGGGTCATTTATGATGGAAAAGTAAGTATTGGTGAGATTTACATCTTGGGGGAAGGTTACTTGAGGTTTGAATGTGTATGTAAGGGAAGCTTTTGGGTGGAAAATCTTTGTAGAGTAGTACATTTATAACTGTCAGCTTATTGTAGACTGTGTGATATTGAAGAATAATGAAGGTAACTTTTTCTACTGTGATACAAGATACCATTATGCGTCTGACTGTAATTAATTTTAGCTTAGACATGTTTTAATGTTGAAGTTAGAAGATTCAAATACATCTGAAAATGTTTTGCCTTGTTTCATATTCTTTGGAATTGTTTCGGTCTAACACCACCACTATCTGCTTTGTTATACAGATGAACATGCTGCAAACTGACAGGTCATCCCTGGGGGTCAGAAATGATCACTCCTCCACTGTGAAGAAACCATCCCTAGGCAACAAATATCAGATGGGGAAGAGCGGAAATCAACACAGACGACCCTCAGGTGTCCCATAGCCACCAGAGGATGCTAGTGTGAGATAATGTAATGGGTGAGGTCTGAAATCACCTCTAAAGAAAGTCGGTGTTATATATTGTAGATCACTAATTTTTTGCGACACTTTATTTTCCCAAGATTGTTGTTTGGTATTTATAAGGGAGAGAAAATTTCCACAAATTTAGGTTATTGCTCGATATAATTTTTAATACATGAGAATAAAATTTTAACAAGCAGACGGTTTTACACTATTGTGTGAAAATAAAGTTTTTAGATTTACAGAAGTCAGATAAGCAGGGTCCTGGGCCGCAACCTCAACCAAAGGGTAGTGTTGTAAGAATGCCTTATATACAAGGTCTGAAATCTCTATTTTTCCCGTTTAAAGAAAGTCAGTGTTATGTAGTAAAATCAGCAGGGTTATGTTCCAAACCTTCTCAGAAGATTTGCAGAGCTAAAAATTCTGAGCAAAGTCCTCAGAATTTTAGGGTGCTTGATCTTAAATATTTTGAGTTTTAGATTTAAAATATCTTATTCCTAACGTCCCAAGGTAGGGTAGGTTTTTTTTACTGGGAAGCCCAGAGTGTTAAGTATTTCATTTTTTGCAGAAAAAGAGAACAGGAACATTGAAAGATATCTCGCTCGCTGAGACTAGAAGATATGAAACTCTTAACGAGTTTGCCTTCTTTGACAAAGTGAGTAATGTGAAAATCAGTCATGTTTTATGATTTAAGGTATTCAATGTATAATAAAGAGAAATTGAACTATTTTGAATCATTGTGAAAAGATTAATATGTACTGCTGGATAATGATAAAAGTGAAATAAACCAAATTCAAATGACTTATAACATATAAGGAGTTATCTGCCCTTGATAAAAAGAAGAAAAAAAATTGTCAAAATAACTGTGGTAAATGATTTATTTCTTTTAATTTTTTTATAAAGAGAGAGAGAGAGTGTGTGCTTATTTTCACCACGAGATTTGTATGAAATTACAATATCTAAATAACACATGCCCTGTCCATAGACTTCCATGTAAAATTCAAGGTGCAATAAATTGGACAATAATCAAAATTTTGTATATTCCTTTGGTGGAGCATTTTTATTTGATAACATTTTCAAAATTCTATCATGGTTTAAAATATTGGACCATTCATTATTTAGGTACAAAATATGGTCGTTATGCATTGAATACCTTAAGCAGGTTTTTTTTTCAATTTTAGGAGAAAAATTGTTTGAAAACAGTATGAAGGAAAAAGCTAAAGGCTGTGCAGTAAAACTCTTTTACATTTTTTAAAAAGAATGACAGAAAAAAAAAATGTGTTTCTTCTTTATATTTCTAAATTTTGCCACAAATAAAAAAAAATGTCAATACATTAACTGCTAGATCATGTGGAAAATTTCATTTAAGCATCAACTACTCTTCAATTCCTGCAAATTTTCCATTTTTTTAATTTTGAAGGATTTTGGCGGAAAAATCATAAATTATAGAATGCCATTCAAAAAAACAAAAAATTAATTTTACATTGTAATTTTCAGGTGAGGAAGTTCCTGAAGCACCCCGAGGTTTGTCTTGTAATATAGTTGTTTTTATCTCATCAGAAAAGAAGGGAGGAACAATTCCATGTATAAAGTAGTCATAATAGGGTTCACATCACTGATTTGTAAATTAATAAGAGGCCCAAGGGCCCTAACGGTCACCTGAGTATAATGTAACGATCCATAGATTAAAACAAAATGAGCTGATAAAGCTATGTTGTCCAAAAGCAAGGAAATATGATAATCAGCGATCAGCTAAATATTAATTTAGTACATCAATAACCAATCTTAAAGTTGATCTATTTATTTGCCTGTACTTTCCCCCATTTGTCACTATCTTCATGCGGACTACACAAAACAATAGTTCTACAGCACTATTAGTTAACACTTTTCATCCCCCTCGCTTTGGCCTCTCTTAGTCCTTGAAGATTACTTATTGTACAAAGATACGGTATTTCTGTCTCATTTTCATTTATCTCTTATATAAAATTTTACCTGATCATTAAAAAATATGAAAGTTTTTTTGTATTAAATATTATAACATTTCTTGTATAATTCTTTTATTCAATTGACCTTTTAAGTTACATTATTTACAGTGATTAACTGTTATAGGTGAATAGCAAAGGGAAATAACTTCTTTCAGTAGAAATTCATAAATTGACCAAAGAGTACAGAATTTCAAAATCTCGTTACTTTATATACTTTATTTGCCTCCTAGGTGCCCAGGAGCAGAGAAGAAGATTTTCAAGGAAATAAGCCATTTTCACTATATAGATTCATTATAGCCCAACCCTAATACCAAAGCCCCTGACCCATAGGTTAAGATATTCATAATTTTGGAAATGGCACCCTTGCTCATCATAACCATGCAAATAGTATGTTTCCTTAATAACAATGAGGAGGGAAGAAGATTTTCAAATAAAAAATGCATTTCTGCTATACATTTAAAAGAGCCTCATCCTAACACCAACATCCCTGACCCCGGGGTTATGAATTTCAAACTCTTTGAAAAGAATTCCTTGCTCGTCATAACCATGCAATTAGTTTTTCTGTTAAGTACCCAGGGGTAGAGAAGAAGATTTTCAAAGAAAGAATTTCCACTTTATATGAAATAGACCAAATCCCCCCCCCCCCCCCCCCCCCGACATGATCCCCTGATCCTGCGGCCACAAATTTCACAATTTTGGAAGAGGCATCATTCATTATCATAACCATGCTGACCGTCACGGTAGCTCAGTCGGCAGAGCGCTCGCTCAGTGATCGAAAGTTCTGTGTTTGAATCACGGCTGCGACTGACCTAAGTCGATAAAAAATAAGTTACCGTAGCAACTGTTCCTTCGCCAAGCGATCGGCACTTTGGAGTGAAATTGCGGGTCTTTCGGATGAGACCATAAAAACTAAGGCCCCGTGTCACGATAGGCGTTGGCACGATAAAACACAGTCACTGCTCAATGGCCTTGGGTGCCGAGTAAAGGTATAAATTTGAAGCCCTTCACCGATATATGGTGACGTCTTTATGTTAGTGAAAAATTCTCGAACGAGACGTAAAACAGCACACAATCTATCAATCATAACCATACACTTAGTTTATCTGCTAAATTCCCAGGAGCAGAGAAGATTTTCCAAGAATTAATGCAATTTCACCATATAATCAATAGAGCCCCGCCATAACACCAGAACCCATAACCCAGGGACCAAGATACTCACAATTTGGAAGAGTTGCCCTCATTCATCGTAGAGACAAACTTGGCCACTATTCGTTTCCTGGAAGCAGTACTAGGGCGGGTCATCTGACGTTCTTCAGAGAATATCCATAAAGAGGTTAGGGATGAGTGACTGTGTGTGAAGAGGGGTTGAATGGGGTTTAAGTTTTCAAATAAACAGTCTTAGGGTTCCATGAGTCCTTAATACTTTGCAAACACGAGAAGGGAAAGAGAAACATTGAAGGACACAAACTTCCTCATACACATTTAAAGATTTTTAATGCTGCACAAAGGTGTAAAACTGCAGAATATATCAAGTGAAATGTTTGATATATGATTACGTTTCAACTAAACTTCTTGTATGATGGTTTATTATTTTGATTTTGAGTTTGCTGAACGGGAACCTCTAATCTACACAATTCGAGGACCAGCTAAGATAGATGTATGGTATCCATGCCTACATCGCCTTCACCATGGAGAAGCTATTACAGAACCTTGTCAGACATTTTCATTAAAATTATTTAAAAATGCTACATCTCCCACAGTTTTTGTACAATTTTAGACAGACTTTGTACACAAGTAGACTACTTAAAGATTTTTTTCAGTATAAACAGTTCAACAACATTAGGTCTTGAAATGTAATAACCCACTGTTCATAAACTGTTGAAACTTTCAGTGACAATGAATTATTTACATATATTTGATTTTCTTCACTTTACCACTGACCCATTCAGCCACAAAGAGGTACTCTCTGGTATCTACACATAAACCACATGGATACTGTATATCACAGTTATGGATGTAACGGAGGAACTGTCTATCCTGATCTAGGATGTAGATATATACAGTGGTTGTTACTGTCTGCTGTCAGGATCAGACCTTGACTGTCCGTTGTGATGCCGACTAGTCTGAACGCTCCCTTGTGAGTAGAGAGATGACCAGTGTATCTAAATCTGTGAGTTTCCTGCTTGATTAACCACCACTGCTGCATTGACTCGATTGTCAGCCACACAGATTTCTAGATTTCTGTTCTCACTGATGTATTTGATATATCCAGATGAATACAGAGGTTTACCTTCACCATCAATCTGAATGGCTTGTTTCTCTGTGGAGCCAGAATAACGGACAACTTTTTGATTGATTATCATTATCACTGACCATGGTAACCAGGAGGTCATCAGAGGAGGTACTAAAGACATTGTAAGGTTTCCACCCTTGTAGTCTGATGACTCCATGTATCTTTTATTCTTCACTATGTTTACAGTTCTTGTATCAGGGTCAGTATAAACTAAATCTCCATTTCTTGTCACTGCCATGTCAGATGGTATATTCCCTGACTTGGTTTGGATTGACTTCAGTAGTTTACCCTGGAGGTCGTAGCGTTTCATGATTTTGTCAATTCCACGTGTCCCGATTTCTTCAACACTGAGACAGGCAACACTGATCAGATCATACCCAGTATTTATGGTGGTGATGAACTCTGGTTCATCAAGCAGTGGTTTGACTGCAGGAATGATACAGCTTGTGGTGTCTTTATTGTGTAGCCATGATTTTCTTCTGTTATGGATAATGCTGATAGAGAACCAAACATTTCATGGAGCTGTTCGCTGTTGATCTGACGAGGAGAGAAACTTGGTAACGAAACATTGACTTCAGGAGTTAAACTTCTGAATTCATCATTCCTGGATTTGTAAGCAGAGGTTAGGGAGAAATCATTGGAGTCCAATATTTTCTTCAGATTAAGAATGATCTGTTTTACATCATAAGTAGTCTTTTCAGTTTCTTTTTCCTG